GTCCTTCCAGTGGCTCTGTGTCAGCACTGGGAGCTGGCCAAGAGACTTGCTGGGGTCACCCCTGCACAGACTTGGGCTTTGCCTTCAGGCTCCCTTACCAGTACGCTCTCTGCTGGCTCCAGGCTGTTTATAAACCACTTTTCCTTTGTTGACATTAGTGAAAATATTCTAGAAAATCATTTGATTAGCCAAGAAAACTAAATTAATGAGCCTTTGGGAAGTAAGAAGCTCATTTCTCAAGAAAATGTTCTCACCCTTCTTCCTCAGCTGAGCTACGTGCACTTCCATAAAAAACACTACCTTCATTTTCAATGCAACTTAAGGAAAACGTTTGTTTTCCATTAAGAACCTAGGACAACCTCCACCTTCAGCTGTCTCACCTGGCCCCAGCACTGCCACTAGTGACACATTCATGTGTCCCAGAGCTGCAACTTCAGCCCATCCTGCTCATGCAGGAAATAATGATGAGAGCAGCATTGGTTGCAATTGCTCCAGCACAGCAGAGCTGCACATGATCTGCACAACACCCTATTCCCCTTTAGTGCTTTTCCATAAGAAGAAAACAGGGTCTGTCCAACCAGTGGAATCCAAGCTCATCCTAAGGAGTTAACAAAGAAGGAAAAGCAAGTTCCAGATTCAACAGACACTGGTTAGTGCTAGAAACTGAACAACGGGAGCAGGCAAAGGCACGGTGGTCAGAGAGAGTTCCTCTCCCTCAGCATTTTAGAAAGCACAGGATAGATGAAATCTTCAAACCAAAAAATACCAGCAACTAAACAATGTCTTTATGGGCTAAAAGGCAGTGGCCCAGGGATGGCCCTGACCACTGGCACCGCAAAGCTCTCCAGGCCCCATGCTCCCCTGTGACATGCATCACAGGAAGTGGCTCCCTCCCGTTCACACAAGGTTCTGATTTTGTAAGGCAAAAAAGATAAGCCAGAGCAGGACATTTCCATCCTGCCACCCCTGTCTCGTTCTTCCTTAAGATTTTTCTTAGTCTATAATTTAATTTCTGAGAAGCTTTATCTACAGAAAAACTGCTACTAAAGGTGCTGGGTTGCAGATCCTTAAGGAAAACAGCAGCAAACTGAAAGCACGAAGGTGGAATGAGAGGTGAATCATACCAGAAGTCCACACCAGCACTCCAACTGGGTGCTCCTCTTACAGTCACGGGCCTGGCCAAAGCTGGGGCATAGGGAGAGCAGCTGAGTCATAAGAAAAAGGCATCTGCTTATCTCCTTAGCTGCTTTGGAAATCCGGGACGAGCCTGCGGCCCAAATACTTCCTTTGAGATGTTACAATAAGGACTGCTGCCTGGGCCGGGATGGCTCATCCGTGCCGCCTGGCAGCACAGCTCTGCCCCGAAGTTCCAGTCCCTCTCTCTCGCTGGTGTCTGAGCACCCAGACAGCTGCCTGGCTGTATGTACTGCAGGGCTCCGAGATAAAGCTCTGGGGAAGCCTGGCCTTGAAACAAAGCGAGTGTCTAGGGCCGAGTCAATCCCAGCAGGAAGCAACCCCGTGGCCAGGTTGCCCTGCAAACCACCTGGGTCAGTTGTTCAGCCCGCAGCACATCGCGGCACTGCCCGGGTGACGATGGGCCGGATTCGGGTTCACAAACTGCCCTGCCCACACAGCTACAGGCTACCGCGCACATTGCTCAATCCACAGAGGTTTTGAGTAACAGGGACCGGGCAGAGGCAGCACCCAGGTGCTGGCGTTTAGCTGACATGCACTGATGGGGAAGGGCACATGTCACCACGATGTCCTCAGGTCATGCAGGATGTTCTTGCTGCCAGGTGCCTCACCACAAACCACTCCTGATGTACTTTAGGTAGCTTTTCCTTATCACTCAGATCCCAAACCACATGACCAGCTACTTGCTGTCACCTGCCTTTACTCCTGCACCTTCTTGTACCATAACTACCAGTGACGGGCATTAAGAGCTCTCTGGGCCCTGCTGCAGCTGGTTCTCAGGAGCACAGCTGAAGGCAGAAGCTCAGACAGTGATCCCCACCCTCAGAGCAGATGTCTTAAGCTCTAGCTGGGAACAAACAGCTGGAACACACAGAGGTTTGGAAATCAAATTCTGCTGCTGTACAAATATTTTTGGTAATTAAAATAAACAAGTACATGGGAGTAACATGCTGCTTCCTGCTACTGTGCTTCCAGCAGAAGACAAGCTGCCAGAGAGCAGAGAGCCTGAGCAAGACCCAAGTGGGTGACATGTAGATGATGGCTCATATGAAGCTGCTTATATCCAGAGGCCACACAACTGTCCAGCCTTGCAGACCAGCAGGTTTTGCTGAGGCAGAAAATGCTCCCAGCAGTGGTCCCTTGGTGGAAGGAGAGTCACAGCACCTCTTCAACACGACCCCTCACACCAGCTCTTCCACCAGGTTCCTGTGGGGACCCACAGCCCCGTGGGATACTCAATGTTGGCACTTTCCATGCCAGCTGGGGCAGGTGCTCTCACTCCTGTTCCTCGGTGCTGAGCTGCCTTGTCCTGCAATGTCTCTTCCTTCCTATTGACCACAGCAATGGGAAAATTAACCACCCCTTTGGGAGAGCTACCAGGCATATTGGGCACACTTAATTTACCTTCCAGCTCCTCTGCCAGAGGACTCTCAAAGCAAAGCCACTGCTGCTGGGGAATCAGGTTTTGCTCCAAAAGCCTGGACAGATCCCATAGGATTTGAACTTGTGGTTCTTCGGCAGTCAAAACAGAAAAGCACTGCTTCCACTAAAGAAGGATCTCCAGCCAGCACTAGGAACACTTGTCAAAACCTGAAGGGCTAGTGTGTTTAGATCTGCCTGTAGCAACAGCAAAGATGATCTTATTGTAGAGGGAAGACAAGAAGGCTGTAGGGGTGGTGTGAAAAGCCCATAACTGCTCCTGTACGACAAAATAAATGAGGGATGGCTGGAACAGAATGTGCATGCTGCAGCACATAAACAGATGTTCCTTGCAGCAGAGACTCAGAAGACATGGGTATCTCTAGGCTCTCTGCTTACTTTTACCTCCAACTACAAGGCCACTATTTTTTAACAAGAAATGTTTAAGAGAGAAGAAAGCAACAGCAGCTCAGCAGAGCTGTTAGGAGCTCTGTGCTTTTGGGCAACCAACACACTGAGCTGCTTCCCACCCCTGGATCCAGAAGTTGTCCTATGCTTACTCTGCTCTAAGCCACAGAAAATAATCATATCCTCTTCTGCAGACCCCTGGGAATAATGTAGGAAATGAGGGATGCCATGGTACTTAGGTGGCTGTGGCTTCCTTTCTGTCTTTGCCTCAGCTAAGTGAATTAGCTTTCACTTTTGTTTCAGGAAAATTAAGGGAATTACAGAAAAGGAGTAACAATACATTAAAAATATTGGCTAGCAAGTACTATGTGCCAGTCTAGCTGGAAAGTTTAAAAAGAAATAAATTCTGGGCATTAACATCACCATTTTCTAGATGCTGCAGTGATTATACTGCTGAATTTACTGTTCACATCATTGCTGCCAAACACCCACGCAGACATATGACTCCAGCCACTATTGCCATCCCCATCAGGAGGACACCTCATGACTGTCTACTATCAGGTGCACTCAGCCCAAGAAGCCCAGCAGGAGGTGTGACAGTGCACAGTGCATATCTCCAGTGTTCTGTAGCAGAGCTCCCAGCGAAAGCCAAGCATCTTCTGCTGCAGATTCTGCTGGAGTTGCCTGCTCGACACCTTCAGTGCTGCTGCGGGACTGCAGGCTCTGCCTTGTAAATCCATCATGGAACAAGTACACCAGGCCAGCAATAACCTCCTGTGTTATCAGTATTACAAAGGCAAGGTATCCTGTGTTAATTGCTCTGTTGAGTCACCCACAGGAAGCACTGAGCCATTGATAGAGTGTTACTTGGGATGCCAAGAGAGAAGGCAGTCAGAGCAATTCATCCCTGTGCAGAGGGAAAACTCACGGTGGCGTTACAGGGCCAGTTTAAGCACCCAAGAGTCGGTTGTTGTGGCTTTCATTCTTTTGCGAGGACAAATTCCATTCTTCCAAACACTCCCATCATGGGCATCCTTTTACAAGACAGGACTTGGCAGGTGCAAGTGGAAATCCTAGAAGGCTCCTGTGCTGTCTGGCTGTGCTGCATGTGGGATGCACAGTGTTCTCTGCCAGCGGCCGGTCACTGCAAGACAGGACTCAGGGACACTAACCTCAGCTTGTCCCTCAGCTATCTTGCACCTCGCATGTGGCAAGGGCACCAGGGGCAGATAGGCAGCAGGGCAGGAAACCACGTAGCATTTATCAAAGTAGAAGATGCAGCTGCTTTGGGCAAAGGTTTCCATCTTCTGCTTGTCTTTTCTCCACCCTTTGGGAACACAGGACCTTACTTAACCCAGATGCTCTAAAGCCTCATTTGTACACTCTGCTACATCTTCCTAATTGCGTTTCCTGTTGTATTATTATTACTTCCCTTTTCTTGGCAGCACTGTTATCACAATTTGAACTTAAATTTAATAAAACGTTATGAAGACTCCTCAATAACCTTCATTCCTGTACAGTGGCCCAGAGAGAGAAAAGAGATTGTACTCAGGCAGATGGGCACAAATACAATGACAAACACAATTGCAAATACCTGCGTGACAAACTTCTTCACAAATCACTTTAGGAATGAATGTATGAACCAGTGGAAGACAATGGCTTACTGCTTGTGTTTGTTCACCTCACACAAAGTCAAGGATCAGTACAGACAATCAGGACCTCCCTCTCATCTCACTATTGCTTTCTGGGGGTCCAATAACATTCACAACTGAAGGGACAGCAAGTTCAATCACAAATTCCTATCTGAAACAATTAATTACTTACGAGACCCCAAAATAAATGGCTGCAGCACTTCCAAGTGCCAGAATCAATGCCCCAAAACTGGCAACTGAGAGGAGACAGGTGTCAAATGTGAGATGGTTCACTCACCCATGGACTCAGAGCACACGTCAAAAAAGGGACACAAAAGGTACCAGAACTAAACTGACATACTGTATTTATTGCACAAATTTCCCCTAAAATTGGGAATGGTTATTATAATACAAGTGCACATCTTGGGAAATATATACAAAAACAGAAGAGATAACAAGTATGTACATTTTACTCAGCATTTTACAAGTACCACCACCTAAATAATTTAGAGAAAGCAAAACATTGTCATAAAACATCTCTAAGAACTAATAGGGAAACATATGCAAGGTGTAAAATCTGTTCTTTTAAACAGTTGTTTGTTCTTAGCAGCCCAGTGTTTGCCAATTGCAACAAAATCAAATGTGCTAATTTGTGTGCCTAGTACACTTAGGTTTCAGCCAGAAAAGAAGACATGTTAAAAATGGAGATTGGGAATAGTGGAAAGAAGAAATCGAACATTAGTTTTCTATTCACATAAAAGAATTGTGATATATTTTAAAAAGTCAATGCTATATCCTGTAAAAATATTTTTTTGTATTATTTAACAAACAGACATACGTACCACATTGTTTATGTACCCAAAAAGTTAACTCACAGGAAAACTTCCCATCACGGAAGGGTTTTGGCTGTGTTCTGCCTACAATACTGCTGAGAGGCGGAGAGGGTGCTGCCATGCCAGGAGGGACTGGCACTGTTCTGTGGGAGGATGACGAGGAAGCTCCATCTGTGGCTGCTCCATCTCGGACTCACTGAACACATCATTAACGCCATTACCAAGTGGTGTTAGGCAGAGGGAAGCAGAGAAGGTGCCACCCAAGAGCGATCTCCTTCTAGTCTCATGTTAATACTAATTGAAAGCCATGCAAGGGCCTTTCTGGAGCGTCTAACCCATTTCAAAGTGACCCCAACAATTCGTGCAATAATGGATCAAATGAGGATCAATATTCTCCTCTAAGGATCATTATAAGCACAGTCCTGGGGGATGGCAGGGTGAGGGTGCAGCTGCCCAGCTTTCTGAGGACGTGCTGTGGATGAACTCACCTATGGAACCTTCCCAGGCACAGGCAGAAACCCTCCTCTGCCAGCCCCAGCTGCACAGACACCGCCAGGTGACCACTGCCAGCCTATGCATAACATGGTATCCTAACTACTGCCTATACCATATATCCTAGCAAAGAGTTAAACGTTCATGTTCTGAGTGCAAGCCTATATTTCATTAGAAATGTGTTTACACAACTGGGCCCCTGTTTTGTGCTCATTCCAAAAGCCAGATGTCATATAATTGTGTGGCAAGGAAAGGATATTTGAAATATGGGAGAAACAAATCCCTAGATCACATATTGATATATCTGATATCTATATATAATATATATAGGATATATATCACATATATCAAAACATGAGGTTTTCCCCTGCAGCAGTCAGCATTAGATTTTATATACAAAGGAGTTTCCAATGATACTGCCTGTATTAATGCTGAGGTCACTTCCTGACGTAGAATCAGTCCTACATGGAAGGGAGGGGTGGGTTTGACACATAGATCTCCCTCGAACAAAGTTTCAGGTGACAGATTTTAAGTCGTACTGAAAAACTACTCTAGGTGAATCCTGGCCCCAGAGAAGGAAGGGAGGAGAGTTCTGTCAGAATACAGAGGTGGGGCAGGGATCTCTCCTATTGTTTTCAAGTTTATCAAATGGTTAAAATAGATTTGTACTTAAAGTAACTCTGCAAACAACAATAGCAGGCATGCTGTACGATTGAAAAGATGATTACAGAATGATGTATTTATAGAAATTTTATAGAGTTTAGCAACCAAGTGAATATGTGTCTCCTACTTGTGTGGATAATCCATGAATTTCAATATACTAAACCAAACAGATGAAAACAGAAGCTAAAAATCAGCAACATTAATTGGCTGCTAGGACAAATATGCAAAACAAAGCCTAGAATGAAGTCTCCAGTTAAACTGAGGTAGTAGAGCCTTCAAAAACATAATCCATCTCCCACTGTCTATTTACATTACTTACACCAGGTTGGGTCCATCAGCTACTCATACAGCTATTGTATATACAACGACAAAACCAGTGATGGCTGAGTAATAGAGAAATGGTAAGAATAAAATAAACAACATTTCCTGCTGGTAATTATACAAGTGAGTAGAAAAGGGATTAGAGTCATCTGCAGCAAGGGTGTATTTTTCAAAAAATAATTTGAATATTACTACACTGTGGTGTAATCAATGTTCATTTTTTTGGTAGAACAGTTTTAAAAAATGTATCAATTAGTTACCTGAGCAATTAAGGGTAATAAGTCTACTCCTTTTGTCCCCAATGCTTTGGTATAATTTTTTCTAGTTAATTCTTTCAATAGCTGACTGACTGCTGTAAAAAGAATATGATGGTCCAAGATTTTATAGATCATAAAAAATCAGAGGTAATTGTCATATTCTGGGGAACCCACGGGGAGATTTCAGCCACTGCTCTCTTTAGATTATTTTTAACATTTTGATTATGTTGAGGAAGAAAAGCATCATTTAGTATAAAGCAACATTTAAACATTATAAACATTTAATACTGGTTACAGCATCCAGCCAAGAAACTCCATTGCTAGTTTATCTGTTGGCCTCTGTTTTCCATCGCCCTCTGTCTCCCACTTTTCCTCTTCCCAGGAGAAAGATCATAAATAAATTCTGTAGCTGACTGTTATTAACGTGATCCTCATCAGCTGAAGCCTGGCTGAAGGCAGCTGCTCTCTTTTTCAGTTTTGTAAGGGGTGATGGTATCACGTATTTCTCAGAGCAGTTCTTCCTCCATTTCCCAGTGTTAAGTCACAGCCAGCCATTGTGGCAGAAATTGCTAAAAAATGCATCTCTTCAGCTTTGCTAAAATCTCCACTTTTCTGTGGCGGAAATCTTGGGCTTACTCAGTTTTCCTTTTTCCTTTCTTTATCATTTTTTATAAGTGGCCAAGTGGGAGAGGAGAAGTCTCCAACTGTTTGCACACCATGCAGTCATATTTGGAGGTGCTGCAGCTCAACAAGCAGTTTGTTTTACTTGCTGCAAAGAGAAAGAAGCCAGTACAAGTTGTCTTCCACTTTGTTTCCAGAGAAGCAAAAAGTCAAAGTCTGTGGCCTCTGGCATTTTAAAGTAGGATCTGGGCAACGTATGGAGAGTGAGTGCTCGCTACAGCTGCCAGCAAGGGGAGGTCGCTGGATTCAATCCTAAAAGGAAGTAGAAGAGTCAGGTTTAATCCAATGTGAAATGTCGCTGGGCTGAACATGTGTCAGAAGCCACACTGCCTGCTCGAGCCCTAGCACCTGTACTTGGGCCATGGGCTACACACTTCAGCTGTCAGATTGTTCCTCTCACCCCTCCAGATGTGCCTGCTCCCACAGTGTTAGCACTGCCTGAACTCCCACCTGTCTGGTGGGTTTTTAACAGGGCCAACAAATTGGTGAGGAAGCAGATGGGCGAAGGAAAATTCCTGCCTTACCTCAGAATAAAGGGAATAATAGTTGGGGGACACTGCACAGGAGCAGAGGACCTAAAGCTGCCATGTCCAGCATCATACATGCTCTATGTGCCTTCCTGCTCATACTCTACTCCTCTGCAGGAAAACATACTCAGACCCTTCCTATGAACACTCCTTAAATAGCTCCTCTGTACATGTCCTATACCCACAGAGAGGTATTATGTGCCTTACATGACAGAAAGAGTGTTTCCTGCCATGTAGGGAAAGTCAGCCTGGAGGAATCAGGTGCTCCATGTTGTTCAGGGATGACTGACCAACTAAGAAGGGAGTTTGATATGTTCCAGAGTGCTGAGCCCATCTTTCTGCCCACAGGGAAGATAGAAAGGCTGAGGGATCCTCGTGATTGAGCAATGTCTAAGGAGAAGCCTGAAGCCATGGGTAACTTAGGAGTTCTGGTCCCATTTAGAAATCCATTTCACTGTGCTTAGGAACAAGCCCAGGCAGAGCGTGTGGCACTCGGACACCCAGGGTAGCACTGCTGGGAAAAGTTCGTGACCATACCCCAGCACCATGCCTAGCTCCTTGACGTGGACTCTCATCTGGCCCTTGAGATACTCGGACAGCATCTTGCTTTTGAAGTAGAGTTCCTGCAGCCGATCTTCCAGGTGCATCACACACTAAAAAAGGAAAGGGAGTTGTGTCAGGGAGAAGACAGAACCAAACCAGAAAGCAGATCCCATACCCCTGTTGACTGTTCTGTGGCTGTGTCTAGGTGAGATATTCACTGGCAGGCTTTCATTTTTGAGCAGAAGCCTTTGATTACATATTAAATCAAAATTAATGAGGCAGCTGTTTTGATTAGAGTGGCATTTCAATAGGCATCATAACAGCTACACCAGAAGTTGCACTGGCTAGGAGTACAAACACTAGGTAGAGCCTTAGATATCTTTAACCTTTGAGGTTAAAGGGTGCTTCAAAACCATCGCCCTCATGACTTTCATTTAGACTTACAAAATTTGGAGATAAATTATGCTTGTAAAGCTGAAGAGTGGAATGAAGCAGGTTGGAGATGAGACTGGAGACTAACACTTCTTTTCCTAGTTTATTCTCAATCATTCGCCTCTGGCTACTGGCCACTTGCACGGTCCATTTGTCCATGTCTGCAATAATGCAGACAGCTTCTGCAATGGGCTCGTCCAGAACAGGGTGCTAGGAACAAAAAATGAAGAGCAGAACCCTAAGAATGACAAATGACAGCGGTCTTTTCACAAAACTTCACCATCCTGGATGGTAGGACAGCATCACTGGATAGCAGCATAGCATTCCAGACACTGTTTCACCTAAAATAATACATCTGCCCACATTGTATTCCATCCATTAAAACCAGAGGTGTTTTGTGAGCAAGGCACAGTCTTAGAAGGATAGTGGCTATTTTAGCTTCTCCTACAGGCTTTAAAGCATGTCACTGACTGACAGCTACATCTTTTGGTATTTGATATAAAGAGTTCTGACATAGCTGAAGGATTTTTTGAACTCCTAAAACTGAAAGCACCAAAAATCCAACTTGCTCTTTAGTGTGGCTGTGTTAACAAGGTCAGATTATTCCAGGCTGTCACTGGTTTTCCTTCAAGGGAGGCCAACGCAGGGAGTTAGGAACCAAACCTGTATCTTGCCATTCTACCCTGCTGGTATTCCACCTCTCCAAAGCCATGAAAAAGGGTTCAAAAAAGGGAGTATTTGGGAACCCACTGTCCTTCTCTAATAAATTTTCTGGGTTGAACTGTTAGCAATTATCTTCTTCCAAAGAGTCAACAAGGGCTTCACACAGGCACTGGGATCCAGTTACTGTTTTACCTGAAGATTAGCATAAGTATCTCTCTCAGGCTGTATTTCAGACACATCTGTGCCACAGCAGCAGGTGCCTCACACTGCTGACTCTCTCACCTGAAGTTCAATTACACTTCCCAAATAGCTTTAAACAAGCCCCTGGAACAACCACTCAGGGAGCAAAACTACCCTGTCGGGCTGGGCACAAGGTAGGGGGACAGGGGGCATGCAGAGAAGGGCTGCAGGTCTAATGCACATTGTTTAAATGAGAAGCAGGGAAAAGGGGGAATTTTTGGAAGGTCTCAGGAAAGTGGCTGCTCACCAGTCCATTCTTCCTTATTCTCTGGGGAATAAACTAGACGAGAGCAGATGTTACACTTTCAGTGACAGCCTGCTTTCTACTTCTTTCCTGGTAAAAGGAGGAGGAAATACCAAACTTCCTATCATGCCCCAGTTCATCTAGGGAAAAACTGTTGTGGAAAAGAACTGATCTCCAACATGTCTGAAGCATGAGTTCCCTTCAGACTATTATCTTTACATTGATTTCTCCTTTTCCAATGAAACACTGTTGGACACATGGACTACTACACTAAAGAAGGAGCAATGTCTCCAAAAAACTGCTCATTCGTGATGGAGAACATTCTGCTGCACAAGCAGCAGCACATTGGTCAGATATACAGGGACAGGAAGGAGCAATGGGAGCTTCTGCACCACTGCAGAAGGACTCTGTGTCCAGGAAGAGAGGCACAGCATATGGGTTTGTTTAACATCATTCCATCCTGTGGGGAAACAACCATCAGCTGCTAAGCCTACAGGAGACAATGATACGGCTTAGCACTGAGATCCATCTTCCCAAGCACAAGCCTCCCAGCTGGCTTCAGTGGGAGTCTGACCTTTTGTGCTCCAGATGTGCAGTGAAATATCCACGTTTTTCAGATTAATTGAGAGAGGAGAAAAAACTGGTGACCTGGGAGAAATCTGACAGGAGCAGTGACAGGAAATATTTCCACTTCCAGCAGGTTTGTACCTTCACAAACATTTATCTTTCCCTACTGTGAGAAATACATTTACCAAATATAGCTTAATTACCTGCACAGCATGAGACAAATCTGACACCAAACAGTGCCTCAGCTTTTCATCACTTCCTATTCCTTGCAAAACAAAGTCAGGCACATAAGATGAACAGTAGCCTCCTAGTAAGGATCTTCCAAAGTTGGCAATACTGGGCTGGACAGAGTTGACTTCAACTAATTTTGACCTGCAAGAAAGGCGTATCAAAGAGATGTACAACAGTAAACAGCAAATTCAGCTTACAGAGGTTGCATTTCTACTTTTTTCATATCTCTTCTAACTTGAAGTCAAGCATTTTTTAAAAGGTTTACAGTCAGCTTTTGCAGTCAGCTTATCATGAAAGCAGAGAATACAAACTAAGACCACAATACACCATTAGTATTTTTTTCCAGACCATTGATCTCTCAATATTTCTCAACAACCAGCAAGCTCAAGAGACACTTTTCCAACCCCTGATGCCAAGTTAGGCTACAGTCCTCTAAATACGTGACATGAGAAGAGGCTCCATCCTTTTTATGCTGTTAGTGCTGAACAGTACTTACCCAGGGAAGGGAATCTCATATTCCTCTGCCCAGTCTTCTTGCTCTCCTCCATAATAGTTACTGCCCAGTCTACTTAGATCATGGCCTGTATCCTCACTTTCGCTGTCACCCAGGGCACTGTCTGAACTCTCATTTCTTGGAATGTCCCAATCAATTCCTGGGGCAACCTTTTTCTCTACATTTTCTCTGTCCCCATGGGGGACACAAATTGAGATTTTCTCTCTTTGGTCCTGCTCATTAAAGCAGTTTTTGTAGGTCTCTTGTCGAACAGAGTCCATAAATTTACAAAATTCACTAGGTGGTTTGCAAGTCTTTGTACAGAGTTTTTTAGAAAATTCTAAACTACTGTTGTGAGCAAGAAGGTTCGTAGCTGCTTGTCCTGGAATATCATCAATAGTCCGGGTTTCAACTGAACTGTCATCAGTGAAATATTCATCAAATAGACTCATGCTCTCAGCACTGCATAAGTTTGGGTTCCAGCTCTGATGTTCACTAGAAACTTGAGGAAAGGATTCAGCTGTCCCACAGTCTTTATTTTGGTCCTCAATAGTTTGTTTAGCTTCACAGTTCTGATCAGCAGACACTCTTGCCTCTGCTGCTGGTGGGCTGTGATGCCTGGCAATTTGTTCCACTACTGCCTGACTTCTCAATTCAATGTCTGAATCAGGTGACATGGAATCTCCAATGAGGAATGTCACCTTTGTCTGAGCCTCGGCAGCGCTGCGTGGAAATATGTCCATGAAGAGCTTATCAGGAGGCTTTTTCTCCACAGCAATCCCAGGTGTCCTTGCCCCACCTCCCACCTGGATGCCTGGCTCCAGCGCATCCTCATTCCTCCACGTACTTGCTGTTGGCTCCAAACAAGATTCTGTTCCCATGCGTTTCTCAGGCAAAGCGGACCCTGTGCATACCACAGTCTCTAGTTTGGTATCCAGGCAGGGCCTTGGTTGCGTCACATCCACAGCATCTTCCTGGCTATCCTCAGGAACGATGGTTCTGTTCTCATCTGAAGAAGATTCCAGCTCTACCTTAGGAGTACTTTGCATGTCTTCTCTCTCTTGCTGTGCAACACCTTCTATGTTCTGTGTAAGAGAAATGGGACATTTGCAATATTTACAGCTGCAGTTGGGCGCTCTCATCTCTTCCGACTCAGTGGGTAGCAAGTTGCCCCTGTTCTTATGCATTGTGACAAGCACATACTCAGACTCTTCCACTTCTCCTTTCTCCAGCGTGGTAGTGATAACAGTGCCAGGCATGACAATGGCCTCATCTTCCCCATTTTCCAGAAGGTGTGTCTCTTGAAGTTCAGAGCATCTGATGAAGTAAGTGAGGAAATAAAGCAACCTCTGGACCAGGTCATGTCTTTTGCCAACCACGACTGTTTTTGCTAATCTCACAGGTGATCCGATGGCCCCATACAGGTCTCCTAGGACAGGAAATTAAACAATTATTTGGCATCTTTGCAATAATTTATTCTTCTAACAGCCAGCTGTTGGGCCAGTTTTCAAAGACCAGATCTATAAGAGAGAAATACTAAGACAGCAGAGGAACAACAATAGTGCTGTATTTTGTTTTCAACAAGAGAATACCAAAGATGCTGTTGATACCATCTGTAAGGTGAGCCACTGGTCAGGGGGACATCTGATCTCACACATCAGGGAGTATTCACACCACCTCACTCCAGCTTTGGAGGCTCATCTCCTGGAATCCTTATACAGCCATGGCAGAGAGGAGGCACCTGTGCTGAATTACCCTCAAGAGTCTGGAAATTGGGCTGGACTTTTACCCACAAGAGAAAACTATAAAAGAAACAAACCTATGCCAGGAACGAGAATAAAAAGTGACCATGGAAGGTGCATGGCTGAAGCCAAGCTCCTTCTCTTCCCCTCCTTGAGTTCTGTTATGGGTTGGATGGGGTGTTCTGGCTGTACTTGAGTCACCTGGGGAAGTGCCCGTGCCTGTGCCCGTGTGTTCTGGAGGTATTAGGGCACTGCATGACTGCAGAGGTGAGAGGACAAGGAGTCCTCTTGAAGGCCACCCTAACCACAGTGGGTCCCTCAAGTCACATGAGGCCTGAAATCAAGTTTTCTTGCCAACACCCTGGCCATTCCTACCTCTACAATAATAGGACAACCTCACAAAACCTTCCCTTCCCTTCCCTTCCCTTCCCAAACCTTCCCTTCCCTTCCCTTCCCTTCCCTTCCCTTCCTCCATGAGAGTGTGTGTGCAGAGCAGGACCTCACCTGCTCTTCGCTACTGGGCAATTATCAGATAGTATGACCAGCTACACCACTGACTGGGCTCTGAGACATTCCCTGGGGGTTGCCAAGCTATGACTTCCTGTTCTGCAACCCTCTGTTGTATTAAAAGTCGGTGCACTTCTGATCAAAAGATTAATTTTCTTGATTTTCTCATTCCAGAATGAGGCTTAATGATAGTGGAATCCCAAAAATTAAAAGCAGATTTTCCTTATAGCAGGAGAAGAACCAGAGGAGGCCTGGAATCCTCCACCAGAGCAGGTGACCTTACGGGACCCAACATAGATGACTAAAGAGTGCTTTACTTTTTGACTACATTTTATAATAGATAATGTCTTAAAAACTTAAGAGTATAAAAAAATACAGTGACCACCTCTAAGCTTGAAACACACTTTTGTCTCATTTTATATTAAAAAATAAATAACCTGGGAGGAGAGTAAACCACCTCATGCACTCCCATTTATGTAAAGCTGCTGAGGGTTTAGAGGTATTTGCCACATACCAAGCTGAGCCCACAGTGGGTTGTAGGGATGAGTTTTGGCCAGCATGTCCACACTCTGGGAAGAATGCTTCTCCAGGAAGATTCTTATGGGTGGCTGGCCGTTCGGCATGACAGTGGGGACCCAGGCCAGGTGGTTAGTCAGCACTGCAGTCAGCAAAGCAGGTAAAAACCTGAAAGCAAAATGTTCAATATGTTTTTTTTTTCCAGATACACACTGAAGATATTGAATTCACAGCAGCTCTAATCTATGTGGATCAAGGGTTAAAGAAACAGCCTTACAAAATCAGCAGAGATCATCCCTTCAGTCTTGGTTCCTTGGGGAGAGAAACAGTGGCTGAATTCTCTCTCCTACCCTGGCAAAGCTCTTATTTAGAGCACATATTTCAAGTATATAACATCTCAAAACCAATTTATTTTATTCACTATAAGAAAGCAGTGACACTGTATGGCCCCTGTACTCCAAGAAGATTCCAAACCCTTAAGACTTGTGACTAAGGAGGAGAAGGAAGACCATTGTTAGCAAACCTGTAAAATAGCTGGGTGCTGTGTTCTTTCATCTAACTATTGTGCAATTTCAACCCATATGGCTGCTCCTTTTCGAAAACAACCCCCCCCCCCCCAAATTCTGTAGCTCAGCCAGAGAAGCTGTGTTCTTACGCCAGCAAAACAGTTTTCACTGGCTAAGCAATTAAGGTGAAAAAACCTTCCTGAAAAACGTTAACTATCTGATTTACTGCAATGATAGAGCATGGTTTCTTCTCTGTAGAGTTTTTCCAGTCAGTTTTCCTGGCAGGAACATGGCCCAGGAGGCTCCACACACCAACACATGGTGCTGGTGGCCACAGTGGCTCATGTGTGGGGAGGAAAGGAGCCAAATGCCTCAAAACGATGTTATTTGAATAACTTACAAGCGTCAAGAACCCTACAGCTTTCATGCAGCCACACTACAGACAGCCAAAGGAGGAGAGGAGATTTAAAACTATATTGGGAAGGATAAAGGGCTTCATTTTTCTCTGGTTTCCATCACTTAAAATCTTATTATATTTAAAATAAAACAAACCCAAATAAATTACTATTTAAAACTAACCAAGATGTACAGGACTCAGAATGGCAGGGATCAAAGGAGACAATCCCAGCAAAGAACTCATCCTAAGAAAATATATTTGCACCCCTCACAACTCCCTGAGGTTTTCTCCCATTGCACTGGGACAGGAGCAGGTGGACCCACAGTGACCACTGTAACCTTCCCATCAGGGGAGAGAAGAGATGACAAAGGTGGTGGCAGAGCTGGAGGATGGGAGCAGCAGCCCCTTCCCACCCTGCAGGGAGCAGTGCACCCGGCCAAACATCTGATCAGCTAGTGCCATTCCCACCCAAACCACATTTGTGCTCTTTTAAGGACTTTAATGGAGGCAAACCCTCTAAAAACTCCTCTACTCATGCCCTGGGGAAAGGAGATGAAGTACTGACAAAAGAGTGAATTTATCAGATTCTCCCCAGTTTATCAGAAACTTTCTTTCTTTCTGAGTTTTCAGCATCTGCTCACAGCTGGGGCCTGAGGCCAGAGAGGTGAGTGAGCATTAATGAGCACAGCAGTTCTTTAGTGTCATTTTAAAATGATTTAAGGTTTGAGAGCAATTTGTGGTATGACAATATTACAAACTCTCAGCTCTTTCTGTGAATGTCTAATCCTGCTTGTCATAGGATAAGTGATTCTGAAAGGTAGGTTAATGCATTTTCTAAGGTATCTTCACCCCCTTCCAGACATCCACACACATCATACACTTCCTATGGACATGTTTCAGATGTTCAGCCTCTACCAACATTTAGAGGATTTTGTGGAGAAGTAGGAATTCCATGAGATAATTTCTTATTTGTTTCAAAAAGAAGGTACTTATGGATGGTCTTTTGATTCTTGGATTACCAGGATTTTAACAACTAATTTAAAAATTTGTTTGAAATAAAGAGGCATAACCACATATGTAATTTAAAAACTAAAATTGACCATACTGATTTTTAGAAGCATTTTCCATCAAGAAAGTGAACTCCTTCATGAAGCGATGGCATAGCTGGTTCTTCTCTGGTGTCCCCGACATCATGGTGAGCCAGACAGGCTCCCCAATCCGTGGCATTGTGTAGAGATTGCAAATAGTTGTTCTAGAAATCAAAACCAAAAAATACAGGAGGTTAAAGAAAAAAAAACAAAAAACCCTAATAACCCAAAAAAACCCCAAACAAACAAAAAAACCTCAAACAACAACAGCAAAGTAGAAATCCCAACTTAAAAGAATCTGTGCAACATTTAGATCCAGCTATCATTTCTATCAGAAACAAAATTTCTCTCAGCAACTATTATCCTAACCATATTGTTGATTAAATAGTACGAATTCACCCTTTACCTCAGAGAATCTCACAGGCTCCTTTACCTGTATCTCACAGGTTCCTCCTGCATCCACCTGACCTGATCCCAAACACAGCAACATTCCCAAGGTCAAGAGCTGCCCTGCTCTGAATGCAGAAGGAATGGATGATTTCTTCTTGCTGTTATCTCCCTGCTTGTCCTTCATTTCATTTAAAACAAACTTCTGCTTTATTTATGACTAGGACAAATTTATACATATCTGACTTATAAAACTATCTTAACGTCCTCCTTGGTTTAAAAATTTTGTGTATCTCCAGGCCAAACCCACCCAAGTGAGGGTATGTAGAGCAGGGAACCAGTTCACATCTTTAGCTTTAAATAGAGAGATGAGAGTCAAAGTCACCCTGTGGCTGTAGCTATTACACACTCACCAAATCCTTTTTGACTCTATAGAGGACAGTAAATCTATGATTAAAAATCGGCTCTGTAGTAAAATACCAGATTAAAATCCCTCAGATTACTGCTAAACTCCTCTAAAATATAAACAAGTTAGAGTTTAATTTTAAGTACAAAGCCTACACTATGACACTATGGGAAGCTGTATTTTTAACACAGTAAAAATGTAAGCCTGAAAAAACCCAAACAGACGTGGAAAATGACTGATCAATTCAGGTTTCTCCCCGCCTAATGCACTACTTTTTCTAGGCAAAGTCTTTTTGTTTTAAAATGCAGATATACATTATCCCATTATCCCTAGCACCACCCCTGATTTATAAAGATCTTCTCTGGATATTGTGGTCTCAAAATTTACAGACACTTTCAGAAACAAAGCTCTGCACACCAGGCAAGCCAAACACACTGCAACAGCAGCTGACAGATCTATGGTTTACTGTTTAAAGTGAAGTCCCCGGAAGTGAGAGCTGCACATCAGCAGCAGCACAGCACATCCTGCCCGGGTGCAGGTGCTCCCCGGGGAGGAGAGAGTCGTCCCACCCTAGGAGGGTACAACACTCCCCAGTTACTTCAGTTACTGGGCACAGAAGCAGCTGGATGGTGACCCCAGAGATGCTCCCCAAAGGGCACAAAGGTGACCAAGATCACCAGGGCTGCTCCAGAAGAAAGAAGGTGAGGGGGCAGTGGCATTCTCTACCTTACTTTTCCTACCAGTTTTCATCGAATACAAAATCCATTATCTGTGCTCACAACAGTCAAAATCAACCCTGTCTTCTTCAAAGGTTAGACCTTCAAATCCTCCATTGTCGGATGTACGATGAGAGCACTACAAAACAGTGTGCTGGAGAGGGAGACAGCTGAGTTACGTCTGCACTCCCTAGCCCCTAAAGGCTTTGCTGTCTGCTGGGTCACTTTGGAGCAGCCTCACCAGCTGCTCCATATTACTCTCTGCCGCTGGTCCTGTCCTGGGAGGAAAGTCCAGCCTGGCGACAGACCTGGGCACAGGTCCTGTCGCCTAGACACAAGGGGGGCACATAGCCAAGGACACTGGCACTGCTTCTGGGGCACCAGAGGGTCTCCAGCAGCACAGTCTTGGGGTACTAGGATTTCATTCCTCTGCAGGGGGCAATCTGGGACTTGGGGGGGTATTATTAGGGGAAAGCTTTCTGTTCACAGCCCATTAACTAGAGTGGATGTTAAAGATGCCACAAAAAAAGAAGAAACCTCAAGTCCAGGGATCTCAAACTCAAGGAGTTTCAAAGCTCAAAACAAGTATAAAAACTTACACCCCCCCAGACACAGCTGACCTGAGAAGCTGAAGATAAACAGCACAACTGAACATAAAATACAGCTTATTTCTCCATCCTACATAAACTAACCCAAGCCAAGCCTCTTGCAGTTCAACTGTTTTGAAAAAAAGAAACTACTTCTATACGACATATTAAAATACTTGTTTTCGTTGAAAAGATAGCCAGAGTCTTGTGATTAGTTATTTACTATTCTGGTAACCCTGGCTGCATCTGCAGCTGATAGTGTTTCCTGAGCCAGATCAGATTGCCCTGGCCAATGGCCAGCAGGCATGTGACTGCAGTGCAGGGAACCCTCCATGCCAGCGAAGGCAGCAACGGCACAGAGACCAAGGGCAAAGGATTAACTGCTTCCCAGCTCTTCAAACACCCAGAGAAGCTCTCTGCTGCCAGATAGCAAAGGGCAAAAACGAAAACAAAACAAAAAACCAACATGAACAAACCGTCCTCAAACACTAGAGGGAAGTTAACTGGATTTTAAAAATAACAACCATTAAAAACCCAATTGGCCCCTCTCGTCTTGGCCATCTGCAGCAGCACCCTCCCCCCTCCCTCCTCACACACACCACTCACAACAGCATATGAGGGAAAGCTCAGTTAATGAGAGACTCTGCTCTTTTAAGGGTTCCAGTATATTCAATTTGGTTTATATTTGTAAACGCCTCTGGGAGGCTGAACCCCAGCCTGGGGTTTCCAGGCACCTTGGTCCCAGCAATGAAGCATCAAGCAGAGAGGCCAGAGGAGCCCCTCAGGAGACACCTTCACATCTCACAGGGCTTGAAAGCCAACGAAGCCTAGCCTGGCCAAGCGAAAAGGAAGCCCTGAGCCAACCCCACCCCAATTCCTCCGGGGTCTGCCTGCTCTGTGGGCACAGATGGCAGGAAAGTGAGCAGCCCTGCTCCTACAGACACCACAGCACAACTGCTCCGTGCTTCACCCTCACCCACATACACCCTCAAACCACCCTGGCCTTTGGCCTAGCTTTCAGTACCAATTTTCAGTACCAATCCAAGACATCTTTCCCTGGTGCTGTACAAACCAAACAAGCCAGGTAGCTCCTCATGGATGAAAGCATCCTGCTGCAGCCCCCTTCCTCCACAAGGAAATCACACTGACCCTCAGAACTGTGCTCCTAGAGCTGCTCTGCTATTTAGGAGCCACAACATAATGGCAAAGAAAGAAAAAAATCAGTGGTTTTTAAGTCTTAATTCACATGCATTTGTTCCCTATCCTCTTTCTTTCCTTCCAAAGATGATTCTTCCTTAAAAAGGAACAACAAAGCAAAGGCAATCCCCACTGAAGGGAATACAGGACTGGGGCTCCCTCACAACTCAGTGCCCATGCTGGCACCACTGAGCATAACACACCACTCAGTTCACAGCAGCATAAGCTGCTTAAAAATTACTGGCAGAAAATAGGATCAAATGTGTCTGCCAGAGAGGAGAGAGGTGCTTCCCCCAGCCCTGCGATCAATGTTTCCTTGCCAGCCACACAGGTATTAGTCAGATGTATAATCTGTGTTATCAATGTGCTGCATTAGCCTCAGGGACTAGGGGACCCAAAATGTTTATGCAGGTACAGTAGCTTATTTTGTAAGTCATGTGTCTGCACAGCTGACATCCACAGAGAGTTCTAAGCCTCTAAGTCAAGTGTTAATAGCTAAACCTATCAGTGCTTTAGGAAATTAAAATTTGCTGTAAAGTGACTAATGATGCAAAGGTAAGCCTGGAGCTGGGCACCAAACTGATGGCAAATTTACCAGCAGCCTCCATTTGCAGCAGCCTGGCCCTTTGAGAGAACGCAGCTTTGTTTTTCCCCAGATAAGACAAAAAGAGCAAAGAAAAGCTCTGCTTTGCTGCCTTCTCTTCTCCCCCTTCACTACCAGCAGGTAAATGCCTGCTGACCCAGCCCCCTTTTTGCAAGCAGTGGAGTGACCTACAGCCACAGCCCCTACCCTGCAAAGGGGGACTCGGGTGGCATGGTACCTTCCCTGATCAGCAGGGCAGCACACCCCCAATGCCCACTGATCTGAGTTTATTCTGATCACTAGATGAGTGCACATCGGCTACTCTTGAGCACCTCTGAAAATCTGGGGGGTTTAAAGAAAAACAAGAGAAATATTCTCCTTAAAACCAACCAGACTGCAATGAGTTAAACCAGCAACAGGATTACACATTAGAATCACCAACTCACTGAAGTCAGCACCCTTCTTCCCTCCAGCACAATTTGCTAAGAGGACAAGAATCAACACAAGTCTCAGGTTCACCAAAGGACTCCTGACTTCCCCGTGACTTCAGTGGGAAAGCAGACACCTAAAGAGATAATAGTATCCTAAATGTGTTTGCTAAACCTGTGCCAAAGTATCTTTGCATCCAGCCTTTGATATTTAAATATATCACTCTCTTCTTACCAGACATATCCTGCATTGCTTTGAAAAGCAAGGGGGTCTTGCATGTCATAGAAATGAGGATGACACATGCTCTTGCATGTCACAGGGGCACACGGACCCAGCCTAGACTGGGGGCACCAGCTGTTGCCCACCTCTGAATGCAATCCCTTAAAAAACCCCAACAAAACCCAAAATTGCCAAAGGCTGCTGCCCCAGGAAATTAATTTCTATAAAATTAAACTGGATTTGATTTACTTCATTACACTATTAAAGAGCAATATTTATATCACCATGGAAACCTCTGCATAAAATTGGTGGTTACATGCTCCTAGTGCGGGTTATGCAATGGCCATGTAATGGGAATGATCCCAGCTCCTGGTGTGCAATGAGTGCCAACCTGCCCGTGTCCCCTGTGATAGTACTTTCTTCCTCAGCATGACCACAGCAGCCTTCTTCTCCCCACCCCAGCTGAGCGTGCCTCCAGGAGGAAAAGTCAGCACAGGGGATTTGGCCTGTGTTTTCAGGGATTTTTTTTTCCTACTTTTGACTCGGGATAGGTGCCTCTCCCCAGCCCTCTGGAACTGTTTAACTTGGAAGGACAAAGGAGAATGGGCAAAGTCTGCTGAGTATATCTTGAGGGAGAATGTTTTGGGAAGAAGGTTTGGAAAACAGCTGGGGAGCTAGCATTAAGAGAGGGTGGGAAGGCATAGAAATGGCTCAGGGAGAGACCAATGAGGAAAGGCAGAGCAGAACTGTGCGAGTGAAGGAATCATCATGGCTGCTCCGAGTTGTTGAACTTGTCTCAGGCCCCTGGACAGGATCAGTGGCTCCCAGCAGTCATGAGCTCCCTGTGCTCCCTCTCTTGGACAGCTTATCCCATCCACCTCTCACCACAGGCCCCATGCTCCCTCTTTTCTGTCTTCTGTCCCTACAGGACATATCCTCTGCCTACCCTTGTGACTGCCTAGAGGTGAGCTTCTAAAAAAATTTAAAATACGCTGTGCCTTCATCCTGCAGCGCCACATAATCCATGGCATTCAGACAGGAAGTGGAATTGTAGAAAAATAAGTGAGCTCTCAGGATCCTTCTCTGTTCAGTAAAATACATCCTGATGTCAGAAATTTCTTTTCATAACATCAGAGCATGGTCTTCAATAATGTCTCTAAAAAGTAAGTCTACAGTGGTTGTAAAAGGAAGAACCCTGCCACGCCCATCTGAGAGGAGATTAATCACTCCAAACAGACGGATTCCATCTTAACTCCCTCTCCATGATTTCAACTGTGGAAAGAAAATACAGCTTAAATGCCAGGGATGTGCTTATCTGTGTTACTTTGTATAGTAACCGTTGAACAGAGAGGCTCTGCAGGTACCAATTGCCAGAGATTAAAAGACAGCTCTCCCTCTCTCTAGCTGTTTTTCTGAAACATCTTTAGAGCACAGCTTAAACAAGGGTGAGCTTTGCTCACATATCAGGACAACGTACACTATTGAGGCGGATTTCCCTAGCAGGGCTTTGCAAGGCTTTTCCCCCCTCTCAACAGGCCACAAAAGACCATTTAAGAGGTCACTGGGAATTTCCTTACACCCTAAAGCACAGAAAACCTTAAACATCTGTGTCCCATTCACACAGGACTGATGGACACACACACTTGGAAAAAACCAAAAACTCAGATGCATTAGAATGGCTTGGTATCACCAGTCCTTTTCTGTACTAACTTTTGCAGAAGACTTTAGACATTTTAAATTCCTCATCCTGCACTAAGAAGACCCTTCTAAAACAGGCTCAAGTGCTTTTGAAGAAAGAGACAGAAAAGACAGGAGACATACAGCTCACCTGAACTCATTTAGGGCATCCACAATTCTATTATATGCTAAACTCCGCTGGCTGGCATCGGCTGATCTCCGACTCATTTTCATGGCCTTGAAAACAATCATTAAACAGGTAAGTAACACAGAGCTACAGAAGCACAGAAAATGGAAAACCAAGTCATGTGTTTGGCTTTATCTATCATTCAACTAGTCATGCAATTAATTTTTTTAAGTGATAAAGTGACAGTCCAAGTGTCAACTTTCTCATCTGGGGGAAGACAGGTGAGGCACATTTGCAGCTTCTGCCTCTTTTGTGCTTTTCACCATTCATGGCATAAAAGGTGTCAAAGTTTTAACAGCAGTGATGCAATTCCCACATCCAACATCAAGTTGATCCCACTTTCGTAACTAGCAACAGGAGTTAGAAATTAATCTGACAGGGCTGGGAGAACATACAGCAGTACAAGTGCAAGAAGCCAAAGCAACTGTTTACCTGTTCTATTGCACTCTTCAGTTTGTTCATGTGACTCTCAAAAAGAGGGAAGTGTGAAAAAAAGAACTCATTAAATTTGTTGTTTTCCTCTTCATCTCTTGAGAGTGAAAAAATAACCCCAATTGCTATCTTTTTCTTCCTAACAATTCCTGGGTTTGGACCAGAGCTGTCGTCTGACAAGTTGAAGCTTTCATCCATGGACCTTGTAGCATGAACAAAAGGGAAAGTTAATGTAATCCACCGCTTAAAGTTGTACCTTGGTTTCCTGTGTAATTCAATTCTTGAACATTTAACTTCTACAAACATCTTTTGCTTGCATTTGTTGTCAAATCATCATCTTTCATAACAACCCCTTTGTGATTTTTTACAAACAAGTATTATTTGATTCTGCAATCACAAAAGTCTGGAACCAGACTCAAAGTGTTTGTAGGATCAGAATATAGTATTCTAGTTCTCTCCCATTCCTGCCAAGAATTTGTGTTTTGATTACGATTTTAGGGCTTTTTATCCTCAAAAATACAGCCTACAGATTCACATGTTGCTGAAGTCTTTTCAGTTAGTGAAAAAACAATGAATGCCATGAGGAAAACAGAGACTTAAGAAAGATCAGCCTGACTTACACCTCTGTAAATATCCCATCAAAAGCATCAGCAAGAGCAGATGTATATATGCAAGAGCAGAATCAAGCTGACAACCGTGTATGGGCAGGCAGCAACCAGCATTTCAATCCCCAGCTCACCATCGAGGGAAGACCCCATTCTCCAAGCTGGTTGTCTGGCTGCGACGCCAACGCCGCTGGTAGCTGCTGGCACAGCTCTTGTTAAATGAGGAGCCCGGAGATGGAAACGGAGTGATGAGCAGACTGCTAAGAGATGCTGCAAGAAAAAGGAATAAAAATCTCCCCAGAAGAAAGAGCATTTAGAATATAACACCAGCAACTAAATGAAGTCTCTCAAGATATCCAGGTGTTGCTTCTCAAGTGCCTTCTCTTTTGTTTATCTATGTTTCTAATATAAAAATAACCAGTTTATAATTACATTAACAAGTCATACAAGCATGACAAGGGTGGGACAGTCCTGCTGATTTACATAATAAGCAATGCACAGGATGCACCTTGCTCAGCAACCTGTGTATCAGGAACTAAATTCCTTGTGGAAAGGAGTAATGTTGATCACACACTTTCACAGCCTTTAACAGTCTTGGGTTAATCCTAACCCAAGTGTCCAACATCCTGAATTTGGAGGGAGGAATGGGGTATTGTTGAGGTCAATTTGTGTTTTAACATTACCATCATAGGAACATAGAACCACAGAATTATTTGGGGTGGATGGGATCTGAAAGCTCATCTCATTCCATCCTCTACCATGGGCAGGGACATCTTTCACTAGACCAGGTTGTTCCAAGCCCCATCCAACCTGGCCTCCTGGATTTGGAAAGGACATGACAGCAAATATTGTTTAGAAATGCTGCAAGCTCATTTCAATATTTAATCTGCCTTGCTTATTTGCAGCTTTCTTTAATAAAAGGCACAGTTGTCAGGTTACTGTGAGGTGCCCAATATACACCCTCAACACCTGCACCATCTGGATGTGTACAGACAGGTGTCATTAATGTCACATAGAGCAAACCAGAACAATCCCATTTCAGCACTACTTGACGATGTGCAGAGATCTCATGACAAATATTACTGAATATTTTTGGAGTTTACATGGTTAACACATCGAACTGCCATTACCAGATCTTGCTATACCGCTGTCTCTGTCCTCATTCTGCTCCCTCCCAGGCATATCCATAGGGTTGCTATGAACTGTAAAACAAGGAATACCAATTAGCAGGGGAATGTACAGTTACTTTCTTGTTTGCAGATCTCCATGTAATTAATGAAACAAAAACATGCTCATTAATTCAGATCAACAGCTCTACACAAGGCCATCACCAAGAAAGGCTGCTTAGCTGAACAAACCAAAACACTTACCTGAGAAGCCTGTATGTGTTTTTCTCAAGTCAATACACCTATTTTAACTAAAACCAGGACCTTGTTTCTTTCCACAGATAATTTTCAATAAAATTTTACTGTACCAAGAGGATGTTGGTAACATTTGTAGTAATCAGTGTACTCACCAAAACTCCAAATAAACACACCTTCATTCCTATACCAGCTTTCTCAGGTATTATATATGTATTTTTAAAATAACTTTGAATGCTGTCTTGAAGAAATTGATACTTTTAAGTTGTGAGCAGTGCATTGGTTGTTCAACTAAGCTATAAGCTGTCCAGATTCACAGTCCATGTATAGAAAAAAATCAAAGGTATTACAGGCTCAGTAGTCTTCAAATGTGATATATTTTATAAATATATGTGTGAAATAAAGCTACTCAGCCATGGAAATAAGACCCAGCCACTAAAAGCAAGAAATGCCCATTTTGAATTAATCCAATTTAGCTCTAATCTTTACAGTTTGGTTGAAACCAATCCAGATCAAAATAGCTTGACATCATTGTGAAAAATTATCCTCATAAACATTAAGTCCATATTTAAATATTTAAGTTTCCAAAACAAAACAACACAGACAGTCCCAAAGAGGACTATTAAATGCCTGCTGCCCTCTGGGGATTTAAGGAATGTATCCAGAAAGGTAAGGGAGCAAACACCACTGTCCATTTTTTCTTTTTTTTAAATATGAGATCTTATTTGCAGGGCTAAACTACAAACCCACACCGTTTGTCACCCCAGCTAGACTAGCCCCACAGCACAGCACACAGCAAACCTGCAAAGAAAGAGGCGCTCCGGATGAGGCGGAGCGGACCTTGCTCTGAGAATGCCCGCCTGGGGCTGCAAAGCTGGGAAAGACCTACATGGCAAAACGTAAAATACACATCAGAGAATGAGGTTAGTAAAGCAGAACCGTCCATAGGGAGGGGTCAGGGCAGAGAGAAGGTTTGAGCCAACATAAATGCAGAGTAACATAGGCAGGAGAACAGCTCTGATGCTTTACCAGAATGCTGATGCAAGGATGAGCCTCACAGCTGGGCTATACAGTATTTATAGATTAAAATAATAGACCCGGCTTTCCACTGTCTCCTATACAAGGATGGGGTTTATCAAAAGGACTTCTTTTTTTTTTTTTTTAAGGTTGAAAAATGATTCATTTATGCAGGCTCAAAGCCTAACTTGACCATAAACAGGAGATTCATCACAGAGTATAATGTATTTTAACATCCATACTAGTGGGGTGGCTACGAACACTGCTTCTGAAGAGAAGGAGGAAGGGGGAGAAAGAAGGCAGGAATTAATCTTAATAGAACGAACAGAAAATTACAGGCTGAAGTAGTTCTGAGAACAGTCAGTATATAAGCTGAGTGAAATGATTACATAGAAAATAAATGTTAGCAGTCTCAGTAGCTCATTTTAAAAGTAATACTTTATTATAGATATACCAGGGAAACAGTGTATTTACTGTACACAGAGCCAGAAAAAGCACATAAGTTTTTTTAAAGAGTTAATTGCCAGTCTGTCTCCTAAATTTGAAGGCAATGCTCACTCAAGGTTTTCTGATTATACAAAACACGAAGGCTGCACTTCAAACCTCCCTTCCATTCTCTTAGGCCTCCATCCGTTAAAGGGAACTCACGACCAGGGCTGCTTTGTTTTTTGTTTAACCAGGACATCTGAAAAAAGCACCTTGTAAATAGTTCGCAGCCAAAACACACAGACCCTCCTCCTGTCACAGGTGAGTCAGGAGCAGTCTCTGCTGCAGAGCACAGTTGTTAGAAATGCTGTAGTTACAGATTAACTCCTCTCCCTACTTTACCCAGGGTTCCCTCTGTGCTCAAACGTGAACTGTAAACAAACACTATTGAAAACTTATGCAGCTCAATCAGAAAGAAAACTTCAGCATCCTCTTCTTGCTGGCAACCTTGTGCCTCTTGACACACACCCTTGCTCCGTGATGCCCACACCTCCTGCTCAGCTCTTGGGGCACTCTCCAGAGTCACCTCACAACTGGACACAGGTGAACAGGTGGCACTGGCTACACCTGAATCGCTCCATGCCCAAGAGCTGCAATAACAGAACTGGAACCTGCAGTTTAGATCACTCTAAAATACATCAAACTTCTGCCAGGCACAAGCCACAGCAAACCCTAACTGTAGATGAAGGTAATCTCTCTCTTAGATCAGCACCTCATTCACTGCAAAAATCACAACTGAAGTCTGAAAGGACTACTGAATATTAAGAAAAATGCCATCTTTTTAACTTTCCTGACTTCGTGAATTCAGGAAGGCTTTAATAGGTAATAGGTTCTTACAACTCTAATTGGTTTCCCTTACAAACGGACTACTGCAAATTATTTTAGTGAGGAATACAGCTCATGAGCTTGAGAAGCCTTTAAGCCCATGCTTGGTCACAGTCTTACCAAAGTCAATGTGAAGGAAAGCAGTAAACACCCCTAAGATCTAGGACCACATCAAAGTCAGAAACCCATTTAAGAGTAACACAGTCATCAAATGTACTCCCTACTTCCAACCCCATAAAGGCATATTTTACATACAGCAATATCCTGGAAAGCGATTGTGAAAATAAGCCCCTTATTCCACCTGCAACAGACATTTGCTTGGACAGTCAACAATCAAAATGAAGGGAAAGGGACGACATGTTGTAGAGCCATGGATCAGGCTGCTACACTAGACAACCAAGCCCTGAAATCCAGTCCTATCAGCCCAACTGTTCCCAAGAGGAAAAGCCAAGACCTTTGTTATCTAACATTCATGGAGCTTCCACCGACAGCTCTTCCAGGGAAGCTGAGAACTGAGGATGCCAGATGGTTTCTCAAGACTGCTTAGCTCCCACGGTCAGCCAGAGGAGAGAACACAAAGATATTCTGTTTAATCTGATCCAAAGTTGCAGCGCAGCTGTGCAAGGTTAACTGAGACTCGTACAGGACACAGGCCTACACATGCTCAGGTGGGCAGAGTACAGAGCAGAATGGGAATTATTAACGAAAATAAAACCGGGGAACTGAGCCAGGCAGAATCAATCCTGCCTGATCAGAGATACACTGTTTTGAGTTTCTACAGAACGTTATTTTCCAACATTTTCTGTATTTGAACTTAAGTATATATAAATATTTCTATTATGTATTTTATATACACATATGCAGCTGTGTATACTGAATGACTGCTAATTCCCTGCACAGTCCAATTAATTCTCCTCCAAGCTCCATCAGCATTAATTTTCTGTTACATTTTTAGCTTTTTAAAAATTGTATTCCATTTAAAATATTTACATATTCTAGAATCTGTGATTACCTAATTAAAGATATCAGCAAATAAAATCTGCTTGCAATTACCTATATTCCCAAGAAGTCCATTCATAATTGTACTGTGGTCAGGCTTTAATGTATTGCTGTCTTGATTAATGAACTCAAGACTGTCCTGCAACCTGTAACAAACATAAAACATACAACAAAACCAGTGATTTGCAGTTCAGTAGAATAGAGAGTTAGCTCATTATAGCAAAAATGGAAAAGATGAGGTAAGAACACAGGAAACACAAGAAAAAGATTTCATAACCTAAACCACATCCTTAGGTGACAGAAAACTAAACATAGAACCCTCTGAAGCCAGATATTTTGGTAACACCTTTTTCTTCATCTTGGACTGAATCCCCCAGGTTGCAGATAGATACTTTTGAACCTTACAATACCAAGCTTCACCACATCAGCATGGAAGGAATGGTTCATTCATTCCCCTAGAGCCAACTGAGGTGAAGACAACTATGAGTGAAAGGTGAAGACACTACTGACGGAATATAGCAAGGAGTTATTTTTTTAGAGAAAGAACCTGGAGGGTCCAAAGAAAGTCCTACGTGTTACATTCATCTTCTTCTGTGCAACAGCTACAAAGTATAGCGGACTCACGTGTTCAGACTGCCATAGATGCTGCTTCCAGTGCGAGCTGTGAACACCTTGCTGAGCATAAGCTGGGGAGGGGAGCTGGGAAACAGGAGGGAAGATGTCAGTCAGAAACAGTGCCAAGATAGGCTTTGCCTTCCATTTCAGAGCCCTCTAGATTTTATTGACCTTAACATGACATAAGAGCCTTTTATTTCAAAAATTACATCAGACTAACTTTAAAGCAACCACAGAAAACCCTTTTAGTCTGCAGTTGTGCCATACAATTAATTACTTATCAGCACTAAGGAGTGAGTCTTCTGAAAACACCAGCAGCAAAAAGTTAATCTTACCGGATCTGATGAATTTTCAACGTGGAGCCCTTGTAGCTCATGGCCACAGAGCCAAACATCATCTCTCCAAGCATGTTGGCATCTGAGGAGCAACGGGAACCCTGAAAAAAACAAACCCACCAACATTTGGTTTTAAGAATTTTAGAGGCACTACTACTAGGCAACATACAAGAGAGAAAATACTCCTTATTTAAAAGATAAATATGCAAAAATATCTTGCTGGAACACGTTGAACATGCTAAGTTGAACAGTTTAATCAAGATAATGCCAATAGAGAAAGTGATCTTCATACTGGCTCTGAGCTCAAAACCATGCAACAAACCAAAGGTGAGAGGAAGCAGATTCCAAAGGCACTGAGCCATGGGACTTTTAAGAATGTGTTAACACACCTTACTGAATTAAGCCTAAACCTTGTTCCTGCTTGACAAGAAGAATCACCACTCCTGTTCACTGGAGATGTTAGACTGCAATGGAGCCAAATTGGACCAATGTTTACTTGAGAAAGACTGATTCATAACTTATCCATGGATGATATTTTATATGGGATGAATCTCTCCCTGGTGCTTCTGTGATGGCACCAGGAAAGAGCTGCAGCATCATGATGCCAGGCTAAAGTGGTGCAATTCTTGCTTCCCTGGTGGCTGGAGCTTTTTGTAAGGCACACAGACTACATACCAAGGAGCAATGTCACTATTCTGCATCACAGGCTAGGACAAATTCTGCAAACAAAACCCTGAAATTAAAAAATTACTCAGGGCAATCAACTGGAGACAACTGCTCTGCTGACAGACTTCTTATATGTTTATTTTCAATGACTGTGATTACTGTCCCTTTGTATCACCTCTAGGCCAGCAGAGTATTAGTGCTGGGTCTCCATTTAAGCCTTGCCCATAATAATTTAAAATGTGGTGGACACTCACTAACAGAACTCAGCCAGATCTCAGGTGAGGAAGTTTGGCACTCTGCAAAAAGAGTAATGTGTTTCCTTCAAGGTGTGTGATAGCATGTATTTACTCCATTCCCTGGAGTAATCCTTCTAAAAGATCCCTTAAACCACTCACAGAAGCAACCCTCCTAGAAGATGCTCAGTGCATCTCCATATTCCTTATCCAAGCTCTGAACAACCAGTATACTGAATAACCATGTATTCTACAAAGGACTGAAATACAGAATGACAGAATGGTTTGGGTTGGAGGGGACATTGAAGCTCATCCAGTTCCACCCCCTGCCATAGGCAGGGCCACTTTCCACTAGATCAGGTTGCTTCAAGCCCAGTCCAACTTGGCCTTGAACATTTTAGGGGTAGGGCAACCACAGTTCCACTTCTCTGGGCAACCTGTACTAGTGCCAGACAGTGAGCCTGGAGCACAACAAAGGACAGGGTGTCCCCACCACAGACCCCCACTAGGAGCAAGAATAGCTTTGAACACCCCACTCAGTGTCTCTGCTCACACCAGCCCACAGAACAAGGGCAAGAACAACGAAATGCTCATCAGCCAAAAGGCAACACACACCGTTTCTCAATTTTTAGCTCTTTTCAAGCACTCTCAGTTAAGCTGATGATACTTTTTACAGCCATACTTTTAACTTCTGAAATCTATCCCTGCATGGAGAGGGGATGACTGAAAGCAGAAACCACAACTGTAAAAATGAGGGTACAACTCCAAGGTTTGTAAGTGTTCAGTGACAGGGCAAACCTGATCAATAGCTGGGCCTCAGTGAAATTTCCATCTCTGCCTCCCAGGACATCTCATTGCTCAGGTGGTCTGTAGGCAGTACTGAAAAACTAGAATTTAAAACCAGCCGGTATGACCAGCAGCTCCAAGGAAATCTCAGCATAGATGTTAATGACTCCAAGAAGCAACCAGTAAGGTTTGCCAGCATCACAAAATCTTGACTTAAGAACATAGCAAATTGCTACAGCCTCATGATACGATTGTTGTTTTTAAATCTGTTGCAGATCTCCAAATGAAGGACACAATTCTGATTAAATGTTAAGCCCTTGACGGTGGGTTTTGATTTCAACTTTCTGCTGTTGTGAAAATATAATTCTAAAACTCAGTAAGAATACTTTATCTATAAGTATTGATTTTCCTTGTCAGACAACCAAATTAAAGTGAAAATCAGCTACTTTCAAATTTAATTATAGGGGTATCCCTTTCCTCTAAAAGACAGACAAGTCCTGCTGAAGGCAAAGAGCACGGTAAGATGAGTTCATGGCCTGTTCAGGCTGGCATTTCATCTACACTTAATAATTTTGCCATGCATAACCAAAGACACATATTTAATGCATTTAGTATCGAAACACAGTTACAGCTCAACTCTTTGGGCCTTTAAATGCTGCAAAATGCAGGTCACTTAAGACCAAAGCAGAGTACAACCAAATGGGGAAAGGGGTTAAATATTACAAACTCAAAAGTAGCCAAGGAGCATATGGCAAAAAGGGCACAACCTGTGGCACTGACAGCCTGGATAAAAAACAACTCCTCAGGTCACAGTTTAGAGCTCCCATAAAAACTGATCATAAAATACGCATAAGTGTTTGTGATTGCACATTAGCATATTAGAGGTAGTAATATTTTCATGATTTGGAAATTGCATTTCTGAACGTATTTACAGCTTTTAATACTCCCCTTACTGTACATATTGTCCTGCCAATAACTAAGTATATCTGTAAATTAAAAATGCAATAAATAAATAAATGTTAAATACGGGACATAATTACAAATACAGAAGCCTGGAACAAAACCTCTGTATTTCATCTTGCAATTAAAGTTGCTCATATATAATCTAAGTGTATTTAAACAGGAAAACATAAAACAGCATTTTAAAAATCGCATAGTATTCTATTATTTGAATTTCCATGTTATAGCCTTATAAGAAAACAAAAAAGAGAACTTACAAATACTGCAAATCCAATAAGTAACCTCTGAGGTTACAGACACAGTAGTGAGAAAATAGGAAATGCCATGCTGAGCGAAGTCTGGACAAACTTAGTCTGGCCCTTCTGCATACCCGATACTAAATTTTATTGCACATTAAAGAATTCTTGTCTTTTTATCTCTCCGCTCATTTGCTGGGCAAGCCTAGAAGGAGTCTGATGAATACAGTAGATAGTTGACAATAAATATGCTGTGGAAGACCAACTTCAGCTGAAAGTGTGTGGCACAGTCACACAGCCACTGTGATTTCAGTTCAACTCAGTAAGATTCTGAGTGAGTGATACACTTGAGGAAATGGGGATTTCAAAGGGAAAACTTTCCACAGCTTTAAAATACATGCTCATGCCAAACACTGAAATTTATTTTTTTTTGTAACACTGAGCACTGTTTGTATAGAGCCTGCTCTGGGTAGTGGGGGGCATCGTTTTTCTTGGGCACACAGTGCACAAAGGAGGTTGCTTTGTGCTGGAAGGGAGCTGCTGACAGAAACATCTCTTCCTTTCGCAACAGCAGTTAAATGCCCTGCCAGTTAGAGAGGAATGAAAAACAAATCTTCAGCCACCTTACCCAAGCTGTGGAAAAGAGTGTGGTGAGAAAGAGAAAACAAGAATACAGAGGTTGCCAAATATAGCAGGAGTTAACATGACAGCAGGAAAGTCAGCACTGGAAGGTTCTTTATTTCTATCTATGGGAGATTAAGACATCAGTAGTATTGTACTCCAGAGCTAGCTGTGGAGATAGCAGCTTCCCTCAAACACACAATTACTTCATTACAAAGAGTGAAAAGGGCTTAGTTCTATTTTGGGGTGGCTTAATATAAAACACTTGTGATCCGTGAAAGGAGAGATGACAAAAATATATCTGTGTCAGATGACTCTAGCTACTTTCATGGCCAAAATCTCTTATATAAAGTGGAATTCAAATGCGCTGAATCCCTTCTAAAGCTGTTACACAGACTATCCCTACAGACAATATGTCTCTCTGTTATTTCCCTGGCATTTGACAATAAAATAAACTACTTCATCTACACCAAGATATTTGTGGCTAGTCTGATCACACCAAATGAGTGTTATCACCTGGATCAATTAATGGAACACGTGCCCTGGAGAAATCGCTGCCATTCAAGACACATCCCAAGAGAACCAGCTGGTTGGTTTTAGACTTGATAATACCCAAAGCTACAGTGTTAAACATTCCTGAGTCATAATCAGGGTCTTGGACTGAAAACTGCTCTCCACCACCAGCCTCTCATTTCAAGTATTTTAAAACAGTCGTACTTCACCTGCTGTTAGCATTTGACATGCGTTATTTTAAAGAAAGCAATTCACCTGGTATTTTGGGCATTGTTCTTTTGGATCAGAGAATGAGGAGGATGAATTGATTGAGCTATCCAAGGAAGAAGAGCTGTCTCCTCCAGGCTTTAGTTGGCAGCATTTTCCAAAAACTCTCACCTGAGCATCACTGCAGAGTTTCTGAAATAAAGACAACATAAGTGACACACTAAGACCCATGACCTGAAATCACTGTTAGCATCATTGTACTTACCTGTTTAAGTAAGATATTTAACAGCTGAAAGGCTCATGCCCCAGGAAACAGGTAATAGAACATATACCCATATCTCTTGGAGCCTGGCTGTCCAAAGGAAAGCTGAGCTCTTTTACTTCCAATTAGCCACGAGCCAGCAGATCACTCCAACTCCATCTTCCTAAGTAGACTTTTTTAGATCCAGGATTAGGAGAGAGGATGGTACCAAAGCGCTTAAAGGAAGGATGGCAATGTCCACCTTACTCCCTGTGCCTACTGGAGTGGAGATAACACAGGAGTGTAAGCAGCACAGAGGAAGGAGCAGCTCAGCATTAATTATCAAGTAAGAATAACATAGAATTCAGGAGATTCATGTTACAAGGGCAAGTGGAGAGAAAAGATCCTGTTTTACACAGATCTCTCCCTAGCTGTGTCTAAGCCCCCTAGTCTTTCTCAGGAGTGGCACAGAGGTGACACATTCCTTAGGTTTTCTGTATGAGAGAACTGTGAGGCTGAAAATGGACAAAGCTGAGAAACACAGTGTTACAGAGAAGCCAGAGAAGTTTCACAAAATTATGGAGAACCAATCCAAAGGGTAAATTCTGATAGAAATTCAGACAGAAAGCACAGCAGAGAAGAGAGTTTAGAGGGCCCAGATGGAGCTGGAACTGATGTACAGGATGGGCAGGATCTGTGTCCACTCTGCACAGAGAATTGTCGATCACTGGCATGGGAGATGCTTCATTATGTTTTATTCACTATTTAAAAAAAATTGTGATTCCCCTTGAGAATCCCAGCATCCCAAGCAGAATCAGCACCCACCAAGCTAATGCAGTTTACATCAACATCAGCATTGCCAACCCGCTTCACCTCAAGATCACAACATAATTTTCACACACTCGTTACACTTCAGTACATCCATGTAAGGTTGGCGTTGTTTACATCTGCAGGTGGGCCACACTAGGAGACAGAAATAGTCTACACTGCTCAAAATTCCACACTAACTCTGCCCCAAGACTTCCTTAATTACCATTTCCTACGCAATCACCACACCAGTAGGAGCAAGCTGGAAGCAAACCTTGCTGAAAGCAAGGTTTAAGGGACAGGTGGGAACACAGAAGTGCTGTTTTATGTCACAGCTTCATCTCTGAACTCACATCTCCCTGTCACAAGCTTCCTTTTCATCCAAAAACATGACCATGTCTCAATCTTTAAGGGAAAGGCATAAAGAAAAGGGTGAAATAGTCAAGGTACACATTGGTAACTCCGTGACTGCTCAATAATCAGCAATAGCTGTTCATAAAGATGACTGGCCTTACTGGTGTGGAGGGATGGGAGTCCCATGCCTCTGTCCAGGTTACTTTTTTAAGGACGGGTGACTTAAATTTGGCCCTAACTGGGCGTGAGGTTTAGCAAAGCAGCAGAAAATGGCCAGGATTATAAAATCCCATGTGACAGCCTTCACTGCTGTTCCCTTAGAGAGTTGCTGCCACAGAAAGCCTCAAGGAAAAATGTGCAGAGAAATTAGTAATTCCGTGGCAGAGGGGAGGGAAGTATTTACTTTCCCCCAGCCCTGTGCTTTCCTGACACACAGCAGTGTCCTCTCCTTTCAACATAGTGGAGAGCTTGTTGAAATCTTGCAATATGTAGATTCGCTAATGGCTACTGAGGATTTGTGGCAGTGCACAATGGCTGGAACATGCAAATGATCATCATATGACTTTAGCAGGGGCTCATGAGCTAGAATTGCATTTTATCTCTGACACAAAAAACAATGTCCTAGGCTAGGCAAGCATCATGTGATAAAACCACATACAATCCACAGGGTTACAGTAGCTTTTGCAGGCAAACCACATTTCAGCTTGCATTTTCCATCAGATGTTGAAAGTTCCTTCTAAAATGTTACAATTATAACTACGCTTCCTTGAGACTGTAGAAATGTATTTACTGACTTTACAAGAGAAAATAAAATTCTGTGCATTAAAAAGAATAGGCTGAGTGAGCAAATTAATTACTTTTACATGATTTCTTCTCATTATCACTGCATTTTTCTGCACAGCAGCTTTTCCCAGATCCGCTGGGCTGTCGGGTAACTTGAAGTAATAGTTACCTAATTTAAATAGCAAACCAGGAAAATGGCTGTTTGTGTAGTTTAATGAACCAAAACTCGTGCAAGGAGTCTTTAAATGAGGTCAGAATGTTTCAGCTCCCATTTTTCAGAACCTTGTGAACAGTAAATCCCTTCTAAAATGCAGATCACTGATGAATTTTGATGTTTGCTCTTTCACAAACTTAGCATGTGTATGATGAACTTGTTGGACAAAGAGATCAAGTATTTGCAGTGACCCTTTCCTCTGCAATTTCTGACTCCAAATGTCAATGAAATTTTAGATGCTACAAATCTCAAGATATTATGGATCAAAGCTGTGGGATTACTTGCATTCTCACATTATAGTCCAAAAATATTCAAGTCAGGTTTCCAAAAATAAAAAGTAACCTAATTATTTAAGAACTGTACAAGGAAACGTTTCAAAGCTGTGAATTTTCTTCCCAATTAGACACAGTTGTGTCAAATCTGATCCTTCGGCAGGGTGATGCTGGAGTGCTCTGAAATGCCTGTTTTTGCTGGAGAGCAGAACATCTGTTGTAAGGATGCCATGGGCAGCTCTGCTCCTGGCTGCCACACTGCCCTCCCTGCTGGGGTCACACTTTGTTCTTTCCTTGCCAGCTCACTGAAGATACCACCCAGCTCCAAAGACTTCTGGCAGTCCCAGTTCTGACATTAGAGATCATCATTTGCTGCAAGTCTTGGAGATCTATCAGGTAGTTCTGAAGAAATCTTAGAGTAAATTGTCTTTACAGGGTACAGGGTACAAAGCAGTTTTCTTCCTCAGTTCCTCTTCAGGAGTCTCTTTTCTTAACAGCTGTCAGCAAAGACTTTTAATTCTTTGACACAAAGTCTCTATTCTTCTCAGCAAGTGGGAAAAACATGTCCAGTGCTGTGAATAGGAAGAGGAATTTCTGCTGGGCAGGTTGTGCTTTGGGGATAACAAGAAAGTTGAAAGGAGCCTGGTGTGTTGAACTAAATCAGACTGTGTGTAGGTGTGTTAGGGCTGTGAGTGAGTGACAGAAGGGAAGAGAAATGTCATCGTATGCTTTTCTCTTTTTTACCTGTCTGCAACAGCAGCTGCTCAAATACCAGCGTGGTGGCAGTGATAGAGAAATCTTTATTTCCAAAGTTGCTACTCTTCAAGAGCTCTGTTCCTCATTTTCAAAACAGGCTTTCCAGAAAGAAGAAAATTCAAAACAGATAAATTAACTCTTTTGCTGCATTAATATGAGAATCTGCAATTAAATGTATGTATCCACATAAGACATGGGAGTAATCAGAATAGGCCCTCATTCCTCCCATTCAAGTGCTCATGTAAAAATCTAGGTCTGTTTCTTAAAATGCAGCTGCAAGTGCTGCAATCTCCCTTTATTTCTAGAGTTGTCAAGTTCCTTTATTAATCAGATATCAGTGAAAGAAGTCAAGACAACCCTGTGCTCCTCTACTCCACTAGTATTTTTCCATGTCCGTTCAGAGAGGATAAGCAGAGCTAAGAAGGTGGGACTTGATTTCTGTGCTTACAGTCTTATCCATCTGTTCTGCTTTGCTCATTGGAAGCCTGTCCTGAGAGCCAGACAGTGTCCAGAGTCTCCATTTCATATAACTCACCTAAAAGCAAAAGACTCACTATCCAATTACTAATCCCTCAAAGCAATTTGCTGTTCAATATTTATCCAGTGCTGAAGTATATTCGAACAATTGGCTAATCCTGGCTTGTTTCAAATAGCATGCCATTTCTCTGCTTTGGGATAAATATGACATTCAGAGTAAAAGAAATTGCTGCTGAAGGAGATCAAGTATCATACGACTTTTTAGTGAAATTATTCAAAGATAAAGACAGCTAGTGGAAGAAGTGAACTTTCCATTGTCCAAATTGAAGCTCACTATTGCACATCTACATCTCAAATTCTGCATCCCAGGTCTCTTTTTCATTTCTTCAGAAAACCAAAACAAATGCTATTTCTGAAAGCCTTCTTCTGCCTCTGGGTCCTGGCAACAAGTCACTGCTCTTCCCTGATTCCTTGTCTTTCCTCCTTTCCTATCACATGCTCAAACTCTGTATCTCTGCTCAGCACAGTGCAGTATGGGTCCTTTCTATTTTTCCTCCCTTCTCTTCCTCATGGTCCCTTGAGACCCCTCCTTCTTCTCTGTACTTCACACCTTCCTCTAGGCTGATCTTTAAACTTAGGAAATCTTTTAACTCTTACATGTCCCATCAGCACCTCTCTCCAGCCAGATCGCAAATGTTAACCGCTGTCTTGTCATAAATCCCCACTGGACAAAACAGAAAGGAAAATGAGCATTAAAATGAGACAGTTAATCCCTGTCTCTGAACTCACTTTGCCTGTTCCAAGGGAAGCCATGATCCAACGTTCCCCTTTTCAGCTTCTATTTTACTTCACTCCCCACTCCTCCCTTGTGGCACCATTCCTGTGGCATCCTTATCCCAGTCAATTACCAGCCCTTGAGTTGAACTCCTCCTACTTGAGCTAGCCTTTGCACACTGGCAGTTATGGGGACATAATTCCTTCGCCACAGAGTAAACACAAGGCAGCCTTAGAATGAGCTGAGTGTAGATGCAGTGTCAAGGTTGGGAAGTCAAGCACAGGAAAAAGGCAGAGCGGAGGCTCTCTGCCCAGCACTGGTTGGGCCACCTGGCTGCTGCAGCTTAAGGAAGAAAAGGAGCTGCTTGTTGAGCTTATCTGAAATTCAAAGTAGGCCTGGTACCACAGCTTTTTGAAGAACACACAGCTCCTGGCTTGGGAACTTGGTATAGCCCACAGCACAGGGAGGAGAACAGGACTGGTGGCACCCAGAAGCAGAAAGCAGGAGAGGAAGTGTCAGAGCAAAAGGAGCAGATGAGCACTGGAGTCTAACAGCAAGAAATCGATCATAGGCTGTAACACTATCACCTGAACATCAAGTAACAGTCTCTATAGAAATGGCATGCTTAATGCCTATGAGGAACGAGAGGACTCTCTAGAGGAGACAGTGGCTCAAACCCACAAGCTTGCCCATAGAAGTTCTTTGATACTGAAAAATCCAAGGGATGTGGATGCTTGGGTGGGGACAGAGGCAGTACAGTAAAGGCATCAGTAATGCCTCTTCCCCATACCACACATTGTCCTAGTACATTCAATGTGCAAATGCCTGTTCTAATGCATTTGCTCATGACTTAGTGCCACAGGGCTGGAAGGGGCAGCCACTCTCTTTCTGGGATACCCTGGCAGAACTCACACACACAATTTTCTGATGCTCGGGAGACAGCAGCCTTTCCCCTCTGCTTCCAGAGCCCAGCTGATCAACAGCCCATCCTCTGGAAAGCTGGAGAAGGACCTCTCCTGCTTAGCACTAAAAAAGGTATAGGACTCACAAAGGGGATCTCTCTGCTTCCCACATGCAAAGTTCCCACAGCTGCCTGAGACAGATCTCCACCTGGCACAGCATTGGGCCAACATTCCCAGTGTTGGAAATAGCTGCCAGCCCTCTATCACTAGACTGCTGCTCAGCTTCCCTCACCAAGTTTAACTCTAGCAAGACTGGGGGAATCATGACTTCTCCTGGGCAATTAAAATATTGTAATGGCCACGCTGCAAACTCTTCACTGTCTTCAGTGTCCCGCTGTGCAAAACCCTCCCCAAATTCTTGTTTACTTAATATTTACCTTTACTCAAGACATGAAGAGGCTGATTTAATATCCAATGAAAACACAAGGTCCTTATTTGTGTTATAGGCACATTTCCCTCACAGGTAAGATGAACCTAGTAATACTTTACTAATGAAAATCCAGCTTAGTGTGAGCACAAACTCAGCAGTTTTCACTGATCAAAAAGATAGAGCTTACTGTTTTATTTCTTGAAACACCTGTGTCTGCAAAATTTTTCTCTGATACTCCTTAAATTTTATGACCAGACCTTCCCTTAAAAAATTCAAATGCCTGAGCCATGTTCAGCCTCGGTCACCACACCCAACTTTTGATATATGTAGGGATTATATATATAAAACAGACCAAAATACATCTCACCTTGCTGCAGGCATACAACTATTAAATTGTATTTGCTTTCGTGTCTCATAAACAACAGAAAATGGGAACTGAAGGGCACAGCACCATAAAGCAAAGTGAAACCCTCTCAATTCTCTGTTAGGCTGATTTGACTTGAACCAGAACACTCTGGCCACTGTCAGACACTCTTGCAGTTATCTCCCCGGTTATTTGTAGATCCAGAGGTATAAGTCACGTTAGGAAATGGGGGGTGAGGGGGAAGAGATGCAGAAAGCCTTGCTTTTTGTGGGGTGCTGAACAGATATTCTTTCAAAAGGGAGTGTGCCCGGCCCACACATGGCTGGCTGCAAAAGGGCAAGAGTGCCTTGGAATGTGCTTAGAGCCAAGATCTGGCAGGGTGTCTTTGATAACGAAAATCATGATAAAAAGCGAGAGATATGAACAATGGAGTTCCTTGAAAATGGCCAGTACATCCTGCTAACAACACAAGCCCATACTGAGCTCACATCAAGCCAAGCTGAAGGCTCTCCTGCATGTTTTTCCCCACAAACTTTTGTTTTATGAGAAAAGTTTTGCCTGACAAGACATTATCTGAATGCTGCAAAAAGCAGGTACATAGCAAGCAAATGTTTCAATATATCCTCTTTCAAAGAATCCTGATAGAATGAAAAATAAATGTACCAAGTTTCTAGAAATGAATTCTAGGTATTTCAAACGCCCTGGAAACAGTTTTCCTTCACTAGTCTCATGTGGAGAAGGATGACTACAGCTGTTTCCTTCCCCCTTAGCAAAGAAAAAGGAAAGATTAATACAGAACCATATCAGCTCCATTATCAGCCATTATCCTGTTGCTGTTGAGATGCAACAGTCAATGAGCTTTCTGAAGCTCAACTTGCAAACAGTGAAGTTTGCAAGTTTAGTGTGCAAGTACACATCTACCTTAAAGACATTTCAGACTTTCAAGAAATTAATTTAAATCTGGCAAGAGGATTTATAGTGTAAGTTATTTTTATTAATGAAGTAATAGTGATAAGCACAGCCAGCAATTCATACCAATAAACCATTTCTAAAGATCTCCTGTCTAAAAACCTGTTTTCCTGGCAAGGAATAACAGGAACTAACAGAACCATTCTAACAAGTTTAAATTAAAAAGAAAGATGCATTTTTTTTAACATTTGTGAAACTTGCTTTATTTCACAAATTCTCTATGAAAACTAGGAAATTGGGATCTTGATTCATGACTATAAAAACACTGGAATAAGCCATGGAGAAGCCTGGAAGTTTGTGCCTGATAAGACAGATGCCAGAGGTTTGGATACTGGACATAGCACTTCAGACCAGGGTTAAGAGCATCAGACTGGAAACAGGCTGGAAGAGTTTGGAAAGCTGGATGAAAAATACTCAACATGAAAGCCAAACCTTGGGGGCAATGTGTTATTTTGTGTACTCCTACTTACAGAAGGATCTCCGTAAATCTTATAAGGTAAAAGTTGCTGGAATCAATAATTTCAATTCACACCATGCTTTCTGCTTGCAGAGCTTAAAATGCTTTGTGAATGTTTTTAGAAATGGTGAAAAGGAACTTCAAAGAGAAATAAGTTGTCCAGCCTCACACCACCACTTTCAGTAGAACTGCGGCCAGAAACTAATATTCTGTCCAGAGCCCTTAGAAGGAAGTATCCTCATCTGACCGCATCTGTTACAGTTTCAATTAACAGACCACCATGTAAATCATGCCAAAAGGAAAAACGGAGTTTTCAAGTAACTTTGTGTGAAAAAACTGTCAGCAAAGCATACAAACAACAATTGGCAAAAGTTAAGCAAACAAGACACAGGAGGACATGGGGCTGGGGGGACTTCTGATTGCGAATCCAGACCCCATCGTGGCACAAAATCAGATCAATAAATCCCAGTTCATGGCTTGTTTCAATCCCCAGCATTGCTTGCTGCAGCCCCAGGAAGGAATCCTTCTCACCGAAAGAGCAGAAAGTAGATAAATCCCAGAATAAAGAGATCACCATAGTATTTAAAGCTGGTAAGAGTAAAATCACTGAAGCCTGAATAATTTGCAATTTAACAGGCATTTAAATATAGCCCTGCATATAACCAACGTTTAAATGTCAATGTGAATAACACAGAACATACACAATGTATCAATTTGGCCATTTGAAAACATACAACTATAAACATGTTAATTAGCAAAATACTCACCGACACCGAAACATCCTCTATTTTTCTTTTAGCACTGGAATCAAATAAGACATTCCTTCCTCTTCTTTCACAGTCCTGATACACGATCAGTCGGATCTGGCTTGGGTCAAACTCCGGTAAAGGCCAGCTTTAATTAAAAAAAGAAAAGAGCAGAAGGATCACTTACCACTGCTCCTTCTACATTATCTGTATATACAACTTGATTAAAATATAGTCAAGCAAATTCAATGCCATTTCATCAAACCCTTTGATCCTGTAGCCAGAACTACACCCTTTGTTTTCTTTCTTCTACATGTGCCAAATTACACTGTTGTAAACTGCACCAATCCTCTACAACTGCACAAAATGATGTGTGCAGCATCAATAGATCTTGTTTCCTGTCTTGTGATATGTTTTCTTCAAGTTCCAACTATCTAAAATCAACGTCATAGAACTTAGCTTTTGTGTTTAAAGACACAAAAATCCTCCAAGATGAATAATCACAGGGTGGTTTGGAAGAACCACCCTGTTCTCTCCACATAAGCCACTGTGACTCAAGGACATGGTGAGCAAACCACACAGAGCAGTCCTAACACACCTATTCCCAAACCGGCTTCCATGAGAAGGAGCTTTCCTGAACCCTCAGAACCTTCCCTAGTGCTACTACTCCAGAGGAGGTCTCAAAGGGAGAACTTGCAGGGATCAGGCTTGGAAACCATTCCATAATCTTCCCTTTAAGGGTGCTTTGTAGTCACCATCTTAAATTTCTATTTTTAAAAGCCAGTCATCACTTTAAAGTCCAGCAAGCATTGTAATCCATTGGCTTGGGAATCCATTTTCACTGACACCATCTCAATTCTTGGAAGACAGGAAACAAGTTATCTGTTGAAGTTATCCGTGAAACCACCAGGAATCATCTTTCAGCTAGTTTACAAGCCATTTCCTAGATCAAGTGAAATTCTGTCTTCCTTATTCTTGGCTTTTATGCAAGCAGTGTTAGCATGAACCTCAAGAAGACAGAACCAAAGCACAAAGGACAGAGATTTCCAATTTGCAAGAGGCTGTACATGTATTTCAGCAAGGTCACGCATAACATGGGTAAAACCTTGCATGTTAGACTCCAAGACAACAGTAAAGTTTCCTCTCCTCTAACCCAAAGGGTTTCCTGCTCTGCACCCACGCTTTATGTGACCAACAAGTCTTCCAACGGCAAAAAATCCATTCGATCACCAAAGTCATCATCACCTGTCAGAAGTTTTTAAGGCTGCTCAGTATGGGTACACAAATTTTACAGCTAGTGTAGTCCCAAGGAGGTGAAACTAAGCACCAAGACATACAGTTACACACTGTCCTGAGATGGAATCTATTTTATAATCTGCCCATCCCCACCATTTAGCAACAAGAGAGAAAAATGGAAGCTGCAGAGAAGATGGTGTGCAACAAATGTGCAAATCAACTTATTACAAGAAAGAAAACCTTGAGCAATTTGAGCTGAAATAACTTCATGTCTAGATCTGGGGGCAAAGAGTCACGCACCTTCTCATTTGGCCACCTAAAGCCAAGTGTTACCTGCAGCATGAAATGCTCACACAAAGTGCTGACACCAAACTGAGCAAATTCTGTACCAAAACCCAAGCACAGTGACAAACTCAGAGCCAAGCTTACACTTATTGGAGGCTCTCCTAATTAACACTATCTTGCATTTCAGAAAATGTAAGAAAACAAAATCCCTAGTTTGACACATGCCTGGGGTGTTACCAACCAAGACGCACAAAAGGCACTAGGGCTGGGGATTGTAGCTGGTCAGAGTATGACTTTGGCTAGAAGTGAGGAGGATCACTGGATAAACTAGCTTCTTGGAGGAATAGCCTCCATATATTAAAGTGAAATCAGTGGAAGTCCAGAAATCCAGCCAGGACACTGTGATTCCTATAAAGAAACTGTGTGACAGTAACAATGAATTGCTTGCCAAAAGGGTGGTATTGCTTGCTCCACCCTTGCAACACGTTTGAATTTCCTTCACACTCACACAAAAGCATGTCTTCCATTACCTAGTACTTTCGATATTTGACTTTGAAAATACTGGCAAAGAAAGCAATAGCTGTTCCAGATCTTAGGAAAATCTACTTATAAAAAGCTCCAAGAGCAGATTACACACTAAGAAGAGAGAAAGCTAAATATAAAACTCTTGCTGTATTCAGAAACATATTCGATGAAGGTAACAAGAGCTTGTTTACTTCTCAGCTTCTTCACATGATATTTTAACTATCTCTAGACAAGCACTTAGTAGCTATTATCCATAATAATTCGTGATAATTCCAAAGAAGCGCTATCTGTTACATAATAGCATCCTTAAGCATATTTCAGCCTTGCAAAAACATTCCCTGGCAATAGCAGGCCACTTTCCAAACTAGAAGAGCCTTTCAGAGAGCTGGGGGAAAGTTCATTCCGACAGACAGTAAACAGAAGGCAGCCTGGCACCTCCAACTAACTCACCCCCACCAGCAAGGGGGAAGCAGGACACAGAGCTTTGCTTTTGTTGTTAGCAGATTTAAAATACTGTTAAGCTTGATATTTGAATAGATTATCCCCAGAAACATAAAATTCCTTATGCAAGAGGCATTCTCAAAACAAATAAAACAGGGCAGCACTCCAGTGCTCCTCTTCAGGCAGATGAAAACTGACCTAGATCTTCTGAATATAATTAGTCCTGTTTATAAACAGAAACTAACTTTGACATTTAACTGATGTTTTCTTGAGATTCCTACAGGAAAACCAGGAGACATAGAATCAAATGTTCTAGCAATGTTAATGAAAGGTGAGTCTCCATTTCCCACACTGCTCTGGAAATGACAGTTTCCTAATGAGGACTTTTTTCCTGCATGACCTATCTGCCACTCTTTGATCTTTCCTTGAAACTGATTAGATCTAAAAAAAAACCCCAAAATTAACCTGGAAAAAAAAAACCAAAAAGAACCACATTAAAATCACCACCAAGAAAACTGCAAATACCTTTCACCAGTAGAAGTCTTTGTGACTTTGCCACTCAGTGCTGTGAGTTCGGCATGGAGCAAGAGAAAAACTGGTGAAAAACGAATTCCTTTTGAGCAGGACACTGCTCCTGTGGAAATCTCCACTGCACAAGTAGGCATTCCTCTAGAATGAGATGTTCAAAAATACCTATATGGAGTAAAAATCCATTGATGTGTAAATGCTGTATGGGATGTTTCAGGAAGAAAACCTAAGTCTCGCACCATGACAGGCTGGTTGAGGTTGGAAGGGTCACCTGGAGGGCATCTGATCCAATGCCCCTGCACAGACACTCATGCAAGTACAGAGTGCAAAAGAAAAGGAATCATTTGGGAGAAAAAGGGAAAATTCCATAGGATTAATGATGGAATTATCAGAAACTAGCAACAATGAGATCAAGATCTGAAAAATGGTATTTTAATGCATATTCACACTTAAGCCCTACTGTTGTTCAGCTCTTCCCTTTTTTCGTCCTTTTTGCTTTTCTGCCTTTTTTACCTTCATTCACCAGGAATATAACTCATAGCTTACACTTACAAATACATCCCATGCTTCCTGACACCTCTACTACAGAGCTTCATAGCAATCCAGAACTCCAGCTGCTCTCTGAGGATGAATTTTCTCATGTTCCTGGAGTTTATTACCACTATCAACATTTCTCAGCAAGAACTGAATGGCTGTAAATTGGTATTATTTCACTCTGTGCAAGTTTTAATAGATGACACAACAGACACAGAAATCTTTCATCACCACTCCAACAATTAAAATACAGGATTTCCCCCTGTAATTGAATCCCAGTAGATTCCTTCCTCCTCATTCTCACCTAGAACATGAACACTTCTTCATTACATTAAAGGTTTAACTTAGTATTATCTTCCCTCCTGGCTGAGACTTTACTTTTAAAACTGTTTATATTAACACAGCTTAGATAATATCTGGTTACTCTTTAACAAAACCAGATACTTTAGAAATCTAGAAATTTAGAAAGCAAAGCAACTGAAGCAAAATGAAGAATATATTAAGCAGGTAGGAACTGGAAAATAATTTTCTAAAAATTAAGATTGCTCAAAACTAGAATAGGACTAAAGATATAAAAAGTAAGTTGAAACTATCTATCAAACTATTGTTTTCCTACATCATGTTACCCACAGTTATAAAAATTGCCTGGTGATGAATCACTTGGAACTATTTTTAAATGCATTTACGCAAATGATACTTATAGTTTATGCCAGCTTATCTGTTCTGCATGGTTTTCATGTTAGCACCTTTTTAAAGGGTGACAGGAACAGCCCGGCAGAGCAGATGGGCCCACCTTGCCCCATGCTTCCCTCGTAGGCTCTAGTGGAAGGAAACATCTTCCTTCACTCCTGGTAGATAAGCATCAGAACAGAGGCACAGGGATTCCAGAACTTATCTCCAGTGCCTGCAGATGATCGTCCAGGTATTATTCTTGTGGCAGGGGTGCTTAGACCCAGCCAACTTCTACACAAGGCTTTTAGAGAGGCTGCATCTGTCATGAAGAGCTAACATCCGAAATACGAGACTGTTCCACTGAGTGCACTGGGATTTCAGATTATCTCCACATTCCGTGGAGATGTACATCCACATCAAAGCACACTCACCTGTACCTATACAGCCCAATATATAGGATCATGCAGTTGCTTTACTACAGGGAATGGTGATCAAGTCCAGAAGGAAAATGGTCCTTGCCTAGTCCAACCATCCTATCATACTCCTCTCAGCCCTGAGATGCCTTTTCCGACCAGGAATTCCCTTCTCCTGCCCAAACACCTCTGAAGATTTCTATGATCTGTTAATAGATTCTTTTTTCTTTTGGCATTGAGAAGATACAACAAAAGTTGAGTATATAGGATTAATGGGGAGGGTCTTGTACATACTTTAATACCTTCTTACTGCACTTCAGTAATTTACTTATTATTTGACCATTATTGCACAAAACAGCTGCACAGACCATTCTGAAAGATCACAACTAATTTGGAATGAAATGAAAACAGAACTGTAATGTGTGTTAATGATGCTTGCATTTTGGGAAGGCCATCATCTCTTAGAGGCATGGGCAGGTTATTTATTTCTTTAACAGTATTTATTTCTTTAACACAAAATAATTTTCTCAGGATTCACAGACAAGGATGATCCAGGCTGTGTGGCTGATATGCAAAGCTGGCATTTTAAGAGAGAGATTCTGTTTAAGTGCTGGTGACATAACACAACCATAAGACTGCAAGGAGGAAGAAAGTTCCCTAAAGTAGAGAAACCACGGAGCCTTACGCTTAGAAAAAATTTTACAAGATATTTGTCTTTACAAGAGCTGAGGTCACGTCAGGGCTATGTGACTGTGGTGGTGAGCACTTGCTGATTCTGCACATAAAACCAGCATCTGTGCCTTGGCCAGGGCAGGGAGGGAGCCTGCAAGGGCAGATTGCAAAGGAGCTCACCCAGAGCCCCGAGTGACTCTGCCTTCTGCCATGGTGACCTCAGCTGGGGTTTCACAGAAGTCACAGGACCTAGGTTCTGAGTAGCATGGAAGAATAGACAGATGGTGGATCATCTCAGTGACAACCACCCTTGACTGCTTGCAGCAGTGACATGTTTCAGTTTTATCCCACGGAAATAATGTTTCTTTAAAATCCAAAAAACCAAAAAAATCCAAGCCCCTTGCTTTTCAAGTGTTGGAAGAGGGTGACATGTCCACAGTCATGCACTGCAGCATTGTGGAGGTCAGCTCCCTACTCCATGTCTAAACCGGTCTCATTATTCACCAGCTCAGCAATCCTCACCTGGAATAGATGCACTTCTAGAGCTCCAGGAAACTTTGCTATACTGTGCTGCTTATCCTAAGTACATATTGTACACGAGGAACAAAGCGTGTCAGCCAGGTATTACACAGGTATAACAAAGCTGGACCTCAATTTCAACCAGCTACAAAGCTCCTTAGCTCTGTCCAATTCTTTGTCTGTATATGAACCTGACATTATTTTGTTTTCATTTTTTTCTCCCTTCTAATGAGAGCCACTTGACTCTTATTAAGATACCTATTTTATACTCTAAAGTCCAATACATGAACCAGATGTTTTTCCACAAGCAAAAAGACAACATTGACAGGCTAGGTGCAGCTTAGCCAACACAGTAATCATAATCTGGAGTGTTATACTGAAAATAAATTGGTGGGAATGTTTTGTTAAGGCTGTGTAGTACATTGAATAACTTTACAATTCACACACCTTGCAGAATTTACAATCACTATTAATAATTTCATAAAATATTTTTGGGACTACTCCACTTATGTAATTTCAAAAAGTACCTGTTCAGGTTTTAGCTGATTTAGGTACATGTATGCATGCAAATATTTGCACATACACACACAAGATTCATGCTCTCTTGAAATACGTTTTAATTAAAATCACACATAAGTAAGACACTGCTCCTTTCAGTTAAATTCATTAGCACTGAACAAAATTACATTATTCAAGCAGACTGCACTTCCTTTGCAAAGTTAAAAGATAGAATCAATTCAGGCAAAAAAAATACTGTGCCCTTTAGCATAAAATTATAGTAAGAATCCTTTAAAAATAAACCTCTAGAAGATTCACATCTCTGGAGAAGAAGTATTTTTATCACAGTGAAAATAATCAGCTTTCAAATTACTCAAATGATCTCAAGAACTGTGCAGTGACCATACCTGGGAAGCATCTTTGTCCTCCGAGCAGTTCCACTTTTCAAAATCCCTATAAACTCCTATTTGTGCCTGGCTGCCAACTCAGGTTAATAATAGCAATGAGCCATATTCATCCAAAACCACAAGACTGTCAGGTGATATATCAAGAGGTCTGAATTTAACTCAAACAAAAGACTCTCCACGCTGCAATGCAAAAGCCTTAATCCTAGCAACAGGAGCACAGAAACCACCTTAAGGACAGCAGTATCGTGGTTTGCACCAGGTTGCGTTTGTGCTGTCCCGAAGTTTCATAACCCAAATCCTGCCCCACAGTTCTGCACAGCCTGGAATTTCTGCTCGAGGAAAGAGCGCCCGTCTTCTCCACTCCTTCGTCTCTTCCAGGGTTTGCTGCAGAGAAGATTAGTGCAATTCACGAGGAAGCCAAGCACTGCCCTGGCAGCCCAGCCCGGACCTGTCAGTGCCATCCATCCGCCTCCTGTCCGCCACCGCACTCCTGGCTCCATCTCATGACCGAGTCCCCGGGCACCCGCGGCCGCCGGAAATTCAGCCCGCTCGGCGAGGAACGTGGGGGCGAAGCACGGCGGCCTCCTTCCAGCCGGCACCCTCAGCCCTCACATTCCTGGGAGCGACGGGGTGCTCTTGGCGGAGGCCGGGCGCGCGGGTGGCCGAGCTCCCGCTGACAGCCATCACGTGACACAGCAGTCACCGCGGGCCACCTGCGGCCGCCAGCCCCAGCGACACCCCGCGCTCCAGCACTCCCTCACAGAGCGGCTTTGGAGCGCTCCTCCAGGCAGGGGCTCGGCGGGGAAGGGGAACGAGGAGCCCCCGGCCGCCGCTGCTTGCTGCTGCCTCTGCGGCGCGACTCCCTCATCCTGCCCGGTCCCGCTCCACTTCTCCTGTCCGAACAACGAGCGCAGTGTGCTCAGCGAGGGCTCATTAATATTACACGAGAAGAAGCGGGGATATGCAAGACAATTCGATGGCTATAGACGGGGGAAAAAATTAAATACGCAAAATAGTACGCTCAAAGTATACCCGACCAACACGGCTGGCTGTAAACAAGGTTTCCTGATTGTGCTCTGGCGGTAATCCGGGTCATGCTAGGAAGGGTACCCAGACATCACAGCAAAGTACGTTTAATAAACATTAAATAGCGAAGAATTATTCAACAAACATTTATTTCTAAACTGTGGGAAAGGAATGAGGCAGATGGACAGTGAAGTGAATAAGACACTGGACATTCAAAAACGCAATGCACATTAAAAGTCTTGTCACAGGCATGGGTGGGGCCAATCACTCATACTATTAAATCTGTATGATCTTCGGATAAAACTCATAATACATGACGGCAGAAGGCTACACCATCATAGTTCCTACTTTATTTTTTTCCAGTGTCTGAGAACCTACAAGTTTTGTCAATATTTTAAATACATAAGAGCAAAAACAGATTTATCATCACTATCTCCTGTTCCACTGCATCCCACAACCCAATAATATCGATGGTTCCCCTGTATCACAGAGTGGGTGAACTGGTGCACCTGTTCATGGGCTTTGGTTCCAAGACCATACAATCCCAAGAGGCCAGATGTTGCTTGTCCTCTGGAATCGATTCCAAAGCAGAACACGAAGCTCCCTGTTCTGTTACACATCTCAATGGGTTAAATTCAGAGAGAAATCCTTAATCTCTTGCCACCACAGTGGTTTTGTTGCTGTTTTATTGGATGGTAATATTTTTATGTTTGGTGCTGGACAAGTGTTTTGACACAAAAGCAGCAAAACTAAAGAGAGATAAAAACATTATCTTTTGTTACCATGCTTTACAGGAAGTTTCTCATTTAGAAATTAAGAACTGAGGCCCTGATGCCACAAAAACATACATTACAGACTTGGCTTTTCATGCATGACTAGTGTCAAGGAATTAAATTAAATTACTCACATGAGCAAAACTGGGCATGTGCTGGTTACAGGACCTATGCCTTTAGCCCAAATCTTGCCTTTAAAGCTTAAAATACCAAGCTTTAGGAGTTAAAAACAGTAACATCTGACCACTCCTACCTACCTTCTTGATCTAGTGAAGGAATGTGCAGCGCACAGTAATTTCCTTTACCTGTGTGGCAAAGACACCACTCTCTAAAGGTTACTGATGTCAAAAGTGACCTTTTTTCTAAGACAAGCAATGCTGAGAAGTGCCACGTACTATGCAAACATTTATTTACAGGAGTAACATCTAAGGTTTCCATTTTACCTCAGGGTAACCTGATACATATTAGAAGTGCTTTGAAAGCTGACCCAGCCTCCTCCATCCATCAACTGACCAGAAAAAATATTGGAAGGAATTTCTCTGCAAATAGAGACAGACTCAAATTGTACAGAGAGTAAACAGTGCTTAAGCCAAATCAGTGAATATTTATTGCTTGAGGAAGGAATTCAGATATTCAGTGTTTGTTTATACACACTGTCACCACTCTCATATCCAAGAAACACTGGAGCGTCTTTAACATGAGATATGCACCATCCTCTTCTCTAGGTGTATATCCAGGCCTCTCTTTGAAAGGGTGAAGGCTTTCCTTTCTTTTGTGTCTCAAATTTGAGCTTGAAAAATAAAGCTGGTAATATTACCCTGCTTCAGAAAAACACTCAAGTTTAAAAAAACAAAGTTATCGAAATCTCCTGCCACAGCCCATCACCTGCCAGGGAGATATTTCAGTATTCATGTACATCCACCAAGGTGCAGATGGGAAAGATGTGGGTGATGGAGTTCAACCACATCCAGCAGCCCAGAGCTCAATGGATTCCTCTGCAGACACCCCACCACCTGACTGGGGCTGGGGCATGTTCTTAAACACACAGACACCAAAACGACCCTCAAAACCAAACAGCACCAAAAATAACCACTTTCTTCACTCTATCCAAAGGCATTTCTGAAAACACTCAAAACTACGGCAAAAGTTCAGATGCACCTTTTGGGTATAAATCATCTGATTTTAAACCAATCAGACAAGAGAGTTTGCTCCAACTACAGGCTAAAGAGTAATAAAATTACTAATTTTTGGTCTTCACTGCCTTAAAAAGTTTTTTCTGTCTTTCTTCTGAAGGAAGGCTTCCATCACACATGTTGTAAACGCACACAACAAAGAGCCAGTGAGTGAGCCAAGACATGTTTATTGCTTAGTAATGCATGAAGGAAGAAGCTAGAAGCCACAGTAGACAAAAAGAGAGAAAACCAATTAGGATTTTATTTTAAATCTGACTAAAAATACTTGGGTACCGTTTATCTACAAAATACCTGCCTTAGTAGGATTACTGAGCTAGACTTCTAAAAAAATGTGCTTTCTGTGCATTTTTGTATCCCCGCAAAAAAAAAAAAAAAAAAAAATTCCTCACTCCTGGAGAGGAAGAGTGGAGATGTTAAAACACGAACCTTCCATACATACCTGGAGCACATACATAAACCTGAACACACAAACATAAGCCCAGCCAGAGGTCAGCAAGAGCCCAAACGATCAGAAAGACCACAGCAAACATAAGCCCTCATGAGTTTCAAAACCTGGGCCCTCTATGCTTTAAAGGAAACCAGATTGTTAAATGCTGAAAAAAGTGTTTTTGATACGAGGTTAAAAAAAAAATCAAGTTTATAAACTCTCTATACCTGGTAGGATTCTCACTAGCAGCACAGTGTCTCATGACTGGAATAAACTGTCTCTACCAGCATTGTAAAGGAGCATCAGCAACTACAAATCTGCTTATGAGCATTCTTGGAGGGTAGGAGACGAAACAATTATCTCTCTTTTAAGAACATGGAGACCTCAGCAGATTGATTATTCACTGTTGTAATTTTTCACATCATGATAAAAATGCTGAAAATAAAAATAACTATCAAAGTAAAAATCTGATGCATGGTTGGGCTACTGAAACATTTGTGCTTGTTTTGCATCACATTTCCAATCGCAATCTACTATAAGACGCTGAACAAACCTCCATAATACCAACTGGTACTGCAAGACAACAGGGCATTTTCCCCCTGCCAAACAGCTATTTTATTATGCACACTCGGGTATGCAGAGCAGACTCTTCTACTGTAGCTATTAAAAAGAAAGTGTAAAAAACTCAGTATTGTGTGCATTTAATGAAAAGTTGTGGAGAAAAAAGTTCCAATACAAATTGCTTTTGATGAACATAGCTGGAAATAGCATAGTTGTTGGAAATAAAGACTCTCCTAAAATCACCTAGAATTATGTAATGCAGCAGAGGAGATTTGTGGGGGGCAGTTTCTGTTCCCTCCTTTATGCTGTGCAGTTCTGGAGATGTCACAATAGGTAAAACAATCTTTAAATCCACATACAAAGCTAACTTGACAAAATAAAATCAAGCTCACCAGCTCGGATATATCAGCTGCAAGGTTTGCTTAGGGAACTTAACGGTGAATTGATGCTTTTTATTTTGAAAACTGTGAATATTAATAGATGAGACAATGAAGATAAAAGACAAACGAGAGTCAAGGTTGACTACAAGACCTCTCTTGTCATTAAAATGAAGACATCTTAGAGGAATCACTGTGATGGGTTGACCTGAGAAGAAGAAACTCAGAGAAAAGTTCTCTCTAAGGGAGCTTCCTCTGTGGGGGTTGAGACAACTTCAACAGCCAATAGAAAAAAATCAGTTCGCTCCCTGAACACACATTTCAAAGGAAGTAATCCGGAACTGAGTCTCTGTGCCTTTCCGGCGGCAGTGCAGGTAATACGAACCCGAGTTTCCCCCTCCCCATGCAGGGGGGAGGCTCGGGAGGCCGCTTGGGCCCCGCTTGCAACTAAGGGACCCAATGGCCAGGAGGAGGAAAGGCTCCTTGTAAGACCTCCACGGCTTCCTCCTCCATGGGCCTACGGCTCTGGGGTGGGGGGCCCGGTTCCCGCTGCTGTCAGAAAGGCCAGACCTGCCCAGCTCCCATGCGGCCTGGGAGAGGCAGCCGGGCCCTGTCTGGAAGCAGGGATGGCCATGAGCGGTCTGGGGCTGCAGCCCAGCCCCAGAAAGGCTGATTGACACCTCAGCTGCCCCCCCCACCCAGCACGGCCTGAGCCTGGCCCAACTCTTGCAGTTGTGTTAAACTTTAACTCTTTAGTGCTCAGATAAGATTTGCAAATCCTCCGGCCTTCCTTTGAATATGAAAGGGAATAA